GTTGTAGAACCCGCGCCCCGCGTCAATGGTCCCGTAGATCGGGAGCCTGCATAGAAGCATGGCATCCTCGGGCACATCGGGTAGTCCACCTGTTGGCTGCCTCATCAACAGCACGCGCTCCAAAGGCGAGGATTGAAAGTATGCACTCGAAATGTCGCCACAATACAACTTGAGGCACCGCGATGCTGCATAGCTCGCGATGAGACAGTGCACTTCGGAATCTGCTGTCGGGCTGTCGCACCGCAGCTCGTCCCTTCCTACTGCCTCAAGATGACCGCATGCCACTAGGCGACTGCGATATTTCGGGGAATAATCTGCACTCCCCTTTTGATGTTCGTGTTTGTCAACATCAATCCATTGTGACGGTATGGGTTTGTGACCCTCATCGAGGAGTTGTCGCAACATCTCTCCTCGGATGGGTATCGCGGCGTTATACTTTTGATATTTGTTCCACTCATCTCGGCGCGAACCTTTGATCCCCTCCTTGACGTGGTCTTCACACTTGAACACGTTTATCTTCCGGGGTTTCTTGCCCGCTTGAGCTTCCACCTCCATACCAAACCTTTCCGCCATGAAGGCTCGGAACTCCGGATCATCCATCTTCACCTCGGGCAAACTCGATAGATCAACCGGGCTTTCGCTCCGGACACGAAACAAGCTGAAACCGGTCCACGCCAAGTTCGTTGCTCCATTTGCTTCTTGGATCATTCCCCACTCGTCATGCACGACATCGTTCGTGCCGTCCTCGAAGTACCTATGGGTTTCCCTAGAGTAGCCAATCTTGCCGAGGTCACCTGGGAAATCATTTTCCTTGGGGTCAAACATCAAGCGACGGGGCTTCACATGTACTCTGAAGCACACATTCCGACCGACCTTCCAGTGGTCCTCGTCTCCGCATACACCCATCAGATCTGCCATACGTTCGGGCGATTCTCTCGAGGTCTCTTCCTTTTTCACGTCATTGGGTGGTTCCTCAACACTTCCTAGACACGACACGGGAACGCAGTCATTTTCGATGCCGAAACCCAACTCTCTCAGCATGTCCCGCTCCCGATCCCCAAGATTCATGATTCCCCTACTTGTGAATGCGCTGATTGACCATCGTTCTCCATCGAAAGGCAAGGTAGCGTGGACTTCATTGGGATCGAAAGACGCTATCCTGTTATGGCACTCCAAGACACGGCCTGGAACTCCATTCATCATCACATCTCCGTCCTGATTTTGCAGCCACAATTGGCCACCTGCGTGATTTCCCAATGTCGTGATCTGGTTCACGCTGCCTTTCAGGTTGTTTGAGTCCTTGTGGGGCAAAGCCTTTAGGTCCCTACCAATCTGGAGCGATGACCACATGCCTGATGCACCCTTCGCCTTCATGTAGCCATTCAGGTAACTGACCAAGTTCGGATGTCGTTTCGTCGACTCGGTGACCCCCGTGAACCCGCCATGTGCATACACTCCGAAGCTGTAGGCGCGTCCATCTCTCACAGCTCCACGTTTTCCTTTTCTCACTAAGGGTGCCTCATTTAGGAGCCTTAAACACGTTGCTGGGCGAAAATCACCTGCCTCCAATGCGTCCATGGCGTCCTGCTCCGAGTCGATGATGTTCATCGTGCCTTGCACGACGTCCGCCTCATTTTCCTGGAGCACATCCACGACCACCTGACTGGCCTGTACATCTCTGCTCGGGCGCTGGTCCTCCTCATCAGGTGAGCTGCTTGAACTTGAGCTCGAGCTTGGGGCTTCAGGAGGTTCGATTTCTTCCTGCTTTCTCTTCCTAGCTGATGCGCTCGGCTTGCTCGATTTCCTTTCCGGCTTTTCTTCTTCTTCTCTCGCATCTACGTATCCCTTCTTTCTCTTCTTAGGACCCTCTGTAAGCGTCTCAGGTAGAACAGGTATCCCGTTAAGAAGGCAATGCGCCAGCACTTCCTCCTCAGATGCCGGCCTCAGCGAGTGAGTCGAGCAAAGGACTGGGACCCCTCCGTTCACCACCCATATCGCTTCTGCGCTTTCTCTACCGATTACCCTGGATGTCGTGCTCCATTTCGTGCCGCCCGCTTGGGCGTCTCTCCGATACACGACATAGTCACCGGTGTTGTACTCTTCCTTGATCGGTACCGCATTCTTTGTTAGCGCTTTCTGGATCCTACGGCTGGTGTCCAGTTTCACCATTGCTTTCTTTGCTTCGATGCGGCTTTTCTGTCTTAGAGCAAAGGCCTCGGCACCGCTGAACTTGCCCTCCATGGCGCCGATGTCGTTCCAGGTGTCCTCGTCGGTGAGCGTGCCGGGTTCCCTCGGGTTGCGACCTAACACCCACTGACTAGGCGAAAAACCCGACACGTTCATGGACATGTTCTTGACGGCGACGACTTCCTGGATCACACTCCTCATCGCCTCAGGCCCAACGGTGCTCACGCCTGCCACGGTCTTTCGGATGACCGCCTTCGCGAGCCCTCCGTGCCTCTCGGTTTTACCGAGCATGTGGGGCGACTCGGTTGCGGCGAACCTGATGTCCACCCCCTTCTCCGTGAGATAGCTCACAAAGGCTCCTCTGTTATGAGTACCTCTGTCCAGCATCACGGTCCGCGGGAGGCCCGCCCAAGTAATCCACCTCTGGAACGCTTCAAGACACATCTCTGACGGAGGAGGTCCTTGACTGTCCTTGGTGACTTCCCTCAGCAACTCGATCTGTTGGAAGCCCGTTGCTAGGTCTACCACGTTGAAACACTGGTATCGGCGACGGTTTGAGTCTGTCGTCTCTAGGACATCCACTCCTACCGTGTCCCCGAACACGTAGTTCCCGTGGCCAACCCCCACAGGGTGTGACCTGGGCTTGGGGCTCGTGCGCTCACAGCTTTCGCACTTGATGAGCTTGGCCGCTTCGATGAACTCCTTGGCTGCTCCTCCTGCTCTCAGGATGGCCTGCAACGTCCTAGGAGTGGGGTGGTTGAAGGACCTATGCAAGCGACGAAGTGCCACGCGAACGCGCTGGGGCAAACGCCTCCAGGCCTCCCTTCGCTTGGCCTCTGTTTGCGGAGTGCCTGGGAGTGGCAAGGATTCCAACCACACTCGTTCGCGATCTGCAGGGCTTAGCTCTGGCTCCTGGTTTTCAGGATCTGGGTGCTGCTGTTCGGGATCGTGGGGCGCTACATCGCCATCTCCTCCTAGCTCTTCATCCGAAGCTCCCAAACCCTCAGCATCCGTATCTACCCCTGCCCCTGCTACATAAGCTGTGCTCATCGCATCAAGGTAAGCCTCCTCACCGATGGACATTATCGCGTTGAAGAAGCTGCTTCCATTCATGTCACAGAAGGCCTTCGGGGTGTATCCTGTTCCTTCACACCATGAGCTCAAGCTCTCAACAATGCGGCTGGCCAACGGTCCAACACAAGCAATGCATGCATCACCGGCCGTTTCAACCACCTCAGCCCCAATGTCATCTGCACTCAGCTTGCCCAACGGTGCAAGCACACATACATTGATATCGGAAGCATCGGCTTCACAAAACAGGTTGATGCACAGATTCGAGTTGGGATCCCCTGATTTGTACAAAACCAGGCCCGGCCTGAACTCGTTCACCTCGTGGGTGAACCGATTCCACTTGAAGTCCTTCGCTGAGTGTTCAGATATGCCGGGGAGATCTACTGGGGCATTGTCATGGATCAAGAAGGTGCACTTCGGGGCTTTGATCAACGAGGTTGAGTCTTCCCGCTGGGTTTGCACTCCAGCTACCATTGCAGTGAATGTATCCATCTCTTCCAATGTCCTCAACTCCCTATTGAACACACCCATCTGCTCCCTTGTCATGATCCTTGTCGTCACATACGCTCTCTTTTCAGCCTCATATGGGAACTGTGCGACGAGAACAAACTCTGCATCTCCAGCAATGCCAGTTGTCAAACGAGTAGATCCAGCGTGCGCATAGCCGATCCATCGCCATCCCGTCCGAGGAAGATAGGCCCAGCCGGCCTCCCACCATCCAGCGGGAAACCTTGGATCCAGCGCAGACTTGCTTGGCCGCTGCCCCACCTCGTCATATGCAATCAGTTTAAAGCCGACACGAGCGTTCTCCCTAAAGTCGTTGCCAACTCCTGGTCCTATCCAGGTTGCAGCTTTGGCTCTCTTCAAGTGCCTGCCCCCGCAAGGTTGCATATTCTCAGTGGCCAAACGACGCAGCTGATCCAACATGCCCGGAGGCCAACAGTCGTACGGCGTAATAGCGCGCCAATCACAGCCTGGTTCGGGGCGCTTATCCAAAAGAAGGTCCTCATACGGGATCTCGTGCCAGGAATCGGTGTCAAGAACTCGGCCCCCTGTAGCAATCGCAGCATTGCCCGACGCGCCGCGCGTTGGCATCGTCCTAATCGCAAAAGTATGCCTAGAGGGCGCCCGCTCCTCTGCCCGTGCAATCGGGGATCTCGATCTGGTCCGCCTGTCCCGGCCTCTGGACCTAGAGCGTCTCCTGCTCCGCGATCGCCTCCTCGACCTCGAGCGACGGCGCAGCTCGTTCCTCAGAGTGCCAACCTCGCGACCCAGAGACTCGACTCGTTGCATCAGCGCCTTATTCTGGGCCTCCAAAACAGATACGCCACGCTCATCACGGGTCTCCAAAGAAAATCTGCGCGCTGGCCTGCGGCTGGAACTGGGCTCCTCCTCGGCCTCGGTCAAATCGACCGTCCCAGCGGCAGAACTCGCAGATGGCCTAGGGCGTCCCGCTCCTGGCCTAGGCATCGGCTTGCTCTTCGGGCCGGCTCCAAGCGACGGTCGCGCGGCGATCTCAAAATGGCGGATGCAAGACGGAGCGTCGATGCGACCCTTCCAGGAGAGGTACTCCTCTACTCTCTCCATGTGCTCAACTACCGCCAGCTGAGCTTCGTGCGCGCTGTGGTCGCATGTCCCGCAGGATCCGCGGCATCTGCCCGCCATACTGTCCCAAGAGCCGTTGCACATTCCGTCGTGGCTGATCGTTGTGCGGAACTTTCCAGAGAGCGCCTGTGCCAAAGTTACGCTGCTCGCCACAGACCTGTGTCGGCCCTGGGTGCAAATGCAAATGCAGATAATCGCTCCAAAGACGCGGGTGCCTCGCGAACAGCCTGGTGCACGTAGAAGATCATGTCTCTGAACTCAGGATTCTCCCATTGATTGGTCAGGTTTCCAGGGTGCGAGCCAATATGCCCCTTCAGCCAGGACAACGAACCCGACTGAATCTCGGGGTTAGAAAAATCCAGACAATTGCAGATCAAGATCGCAGTGCTCCCAGTCAAGGGCCCGTGCAGGGCCTCGGCCAATGCCTTCGCAGACTCCTGCCCAGGGCTGTAGATATAAGATGAGGCCTCGCGGCGCCATCGAGTCCCCGTAGAGACAATGTGGACACTCGGCATCTGCTTGCTAGACCGAGGATCACTGCTTGCCACGTTGGCCTGAATGTTACCCTGGTGGTTTCCACCCGAATCTGTGACTGAGGTGTGTGCGCCTTTGTCCTTAATCCTTTGAGGATGCTGCTTACGCTCATCGGGATGCTTCTGGGGATCTGTGTCCTGCTTCTGGGAATCTGTGTCCTGCTTCTGGGAATCTGTGTTCTGCTTCTGGGAATCTGTGTCCTGCTTCTGGGAATCTGTGTTCTGCTTCTGGGAATCTGTGTCCTGCTTCTGGGAATCTGTGTTCTGCTTCTGGGAATCTGTGTCTTGGATGTCAAACCTTCGTGCCCTTCACCCTTACGAATCTTCCTCTCCAACGGCGCTCTGTAAGGTCGAAGCGGACGAGGTATTCGATCCAGAAGGCGGATACCGGAGGAGAGGTTCACTGCAAGCAAATTGCTCCCTTTAACCCTGAACAGGGGCAACCTCCACAGTTCTCCATTGTTCCTCTGTATCAAGCAGGTGAACGACTTCATGTCCTTCAACAAACCCAGGGTGCTCTGCGCGAATAAGGATAGAAGTAGGGGCGTTTCGCTCCCAGAGGTCACGTGGCAATCAAGGATACCGGGGACTAGCGGGTCCTTACCATCCTCCTTCTCACCCTGATACTCGCATTGAATGCAGAAGCACAGACGTCGATCGCCCAAGGTCTTAGTCATCCCACCAAGTCCTCTGAACTGAATGCCTTCTTGGCTCAACCAGGGGAATTCGAAACCCAGTTTGGCCAGTTTCATCTGGGCGTTGTCACACCATCTCTCCCCGCAAACTGAGCTATTCGCACCATCATCCAAGACACCCCAAATATCCTCATGATCGTAAATATCCACTTCCGCAAGGGTCAACGGAACCACCGAGGATAGGGAGTTGGTCTTCATGGACATGTACGCTGCGCTTTCCCCATCTGTCCTTCTCCGGTCTTGCGATCCGGAGCCAGCTGCCCGTTGCGGTGCAGCTCTCGACATCTCGCCAGGCGACGCTCTGACGGATGACGGAGATTCCTGAGATACCACTGCTGCTTCCACGATATCATTGAGGATCTCATGTAAGTCCTTCGGGGAAATCCTTGGGTCGTCAATACCCTCGACATTCTGGGCCACTAGACAATCTTCAACTTGGGACCTGAACTCATCCAACAATGTCATGGTCTGCGTTGCATCCAGGCTTGCCTCATCGAGCACATTCCTAGAGATGTTCGAGATGAGATCAAACGAAGCCGAAGTCGCAGTCTCAAGTTCCTGCGCAGCCTGACGCCTGATTCGGGCTTCTGCTTGGGGCATTTCATCTATCACATGACCACAATCCTTACAGAAAGTCTTCATGATGGCCTTGTTCGAGCCCAGTCTACTGGTGTTTGCATGCCTGCACAATGTGGGGTCCTTCTTCTCGAAGGTCTTCTTCTCCTTAAACACCTTTCCACACACCCTGCAGGTCTTCACTGTCACGTAGGCATTTGTCCCCACGTACGAAAAGTTGGTGCATGTCTGACAACTCACAGGCAAAGGGGGATTTGGGGGCTTGCTTTTGGCTGTCACATGGGAGGATGCTGCTGGCACCGCAACACTCTGCTGGGCTTGCGCTCCAGGCATTTGCGGCACCTCATCTAGAGGGATGTCTCGCCTCATTACCTCCATGCTTTCCTCATTCACGATGTAGTAATTCTGAACCCAATTCAGAAATGCCGCCAAATCCCGAGATCCCGCCGATTTCAAGGAACGTCCCCAGATGACATATGCAGTGTAGCGATGAAGAACCTCCTCGAAACTAAGCCCACGATGCTGGCCAACAGTGAAGACACGGTCCCCACCGGGAGGCATCGTGTCTCGAGCGGCATTCCTGGCTGTCCTTGAAGCTCGAGCGCCTTCCCTGCGATAGACCATGTACGCTTTAGGGCTACCTTCTGAGGGGCCACTGTCAATGTACACACACTCCATGTCATCCTCGCTCTCACTAGTCACTGGAACTGCCATGAAAGCTTGCTTTGTTCCCGACTTCGATCCCTTGGAATCTCCCTTGGACTTGCCCTTGCCATCCGAACCGGACTGTGAAGATCGACCTTTGGGGCATTGAGGATCCCCGCTCCAATGTCCTGTTTGCCCACATCGCAGGCAACGGCTCTTAGCCTTGAGTTCCCTGAGCTTCTCTTTCCTCTCTTCAACTGACAATTGCAAGCGACTGCGCACTACCGGAAATCCTTTTCCCTTGCCACCGGATGATCCTTTACCCTTACCTGCCTTGCCCAATGCAACATGAGCCGCACACTGCAACTGAATCGCTTCGCCCGTGGCCTCGGGAAAGCTCTCGTAGTCGCAGTCCTCCATCGCATTCAAGGCGACGGCAACCTCGCTGTCGGAAACGATCACGTCCTCCTCGGAAGGAGCATATCCTGGTGAACCACCTGGCTGATCAGTCCAAGCGTTCCACCCCACATCTTCGGCATCTTCCTGTGCCTCATCTTGGTACCATTCATCAGCATAATGATCATCTGCCCTATGTTCTTGCGATACATAGGCTGAATCAATGACATCACTCACATAAGCGGTTGTCACTGACCCTGGTGAACGGCTCCCAAACTTGCCTGATCCCTTCGACTGCCATCTGCGGGTATCTCTATCGAAACCAGGGCTTCGAAGGGGTGTTGAATCAAGTAGTTTGTTCCCCCGCAAGTGAATCAACCCATGATGCTCGGTCATGATCTTTGCGTATGTCTCAAAATCATGGGCACCGCCTGAACAAGCCTTCACCATCAACTGCTGATCACGTGACAACCCGCTCAACTCGAGCAACAATTCTGCTCTCAAACTATCCGACAGAGATATCCTCGGATCGAGCTGCGTCATCAAGGTCCACCATCTGCGTCTCCTTCCTATATAGGAAACAACTGATTCCCCGTCCTGACGACTCAAAGGACCTCGAATGGCTTGCCCACTGCGAAACAAGGCCTGGGCCTCCAAAGTTCCTAGCGGGAAGACCATTGCCTTGATCTCGGAGATCAGGGTCCTTAGCCCACCGGGTCCTGACAGGGTCGCGATTCCAATGTCCTTAGCCTTTTGGAAGGCGTCTCCTCTGAGACCCTCCATGACGCGAAGAACAGTGTCCACAGCCCCATCATCCCCGTCTGAGCTGCTCTCGTGCGCAACCACACTGGCCGCTGGCGAGTCAGGGACAGGAATGGTGGGTCTCCCTGACGCAGCTGCCGGTCTCCCGGCTACACCACCTTCGGCTGGAGCACTCGCTTCCGCCTGAGGTGTTCTCTCCTCTCTTCCTTGCTCAGGACCGCCTGACGAAAACGAAGTGTCTTTCTTCTCTCTCTTCTCCTTCTTCTTTCGGCGCTTCTCCTGCTGCTCATGCGCCGCAATGCGTAGCTCGGTTCTGAACTCCCATTCATGGTAGTCAGCAGGGTTTCCGTCGAAAATGAACACTCCATTCTTTGTGACACTGGGCGTTGAAGAATACGCTTTGTTTCGGAATCTGAGGCCTGCAACTGTCATGCCCAAACTCCTTCGTCAGATCCAGTCACTGAACAAACCAACTGCTTTGCTGTTCTGCGGAAAAACGTTGCCCCGATCTTACGATTCGAGGACTTCTCTTCTCACACTCCTCTCAAACACAACCAGTCCAAAGGCCAGCTGGAACTACCCCCTGCACAATGAGGGGAGCAGCTCCGCTACCAGTTAGCGTTCACTCGCGCTTCGGACTCTACCTTTTCTGCCACAGCTCAAGGGCCCTTCGAGAGGTAACAGCAACAGCAAACAAAATGTACAACATGCAAACTGCTGCTGCTCTCAGAACTACACATGAAAAGGCACGCACTCAAGCTATACATGCAAGAATCGAGGTGATATTCACAGGGGCTCAGGGGGGTTGCGGTTCGGCCACACTTCCTGAGCAGGGTGACCGCGCAGTTTCGTGCATCAGGGTTCGGGGGGGGTCAGGGCCCGGGCTCCCTCAAATCGGGCTGTACTCTTAGAGTTTATGGGGCTTGCCCATGCTGCTTCCTGCAATCTTATCATGAGCGAGCTGCTGTACTGTCACCTGGTTGTTGATGGTGTTCGCGACCTTGGCACTCATGTAGAACTTCTTGTCACCGGCATCCTGAGGGAATGCGCACTTCGCTTGGAGGGTACGGGCCTGGATGCTGTGGTCCGGAGATGAGTGTCTTTACTTTGCTGCTTTGGGTGGATACTGGGGCGTGCCCCACTGGCCCACTGGCGCGGTCCTTGATGGTCACCGTCACCGGCTTGTCGCCCATCTTGTCCGCCAAGGGGAACTCCCCCAGCTCAGGGCCCAGCATGAGCTTCTCGAGCTTCCAGGTTCCTGTCCGGCACAAACAGTTTGAACACGGTCCGGGCCGACAGGCACCAGCCGACACAACATCATGCGGCCCGATCAGCGGAGGCCTACCGCGAAGTGGGTCTTGGCTGCCGGCTGGCGGTCCTCGTCACGTTTCTCGTGCTTCCTGCTCCACTACTTGTACCAGGATTAGCTCCTTGGCAGATGGTGCCGACTTGGTGGCAATCTTGAACTTGTCTCCATCGGCCTGCAGGCCATCATACGACATAGGTGATGAGAAGAGGCTGAGGCTTCTACGGCTTTCAACTCGCAAGCGCTGTCCTTGCATGCATGACCGCCGCGGATTCAGATAGTTGCGAGCAACACCAATTAAGACTACCACAAATGCAGCATACGACAATGCAGCAGAATGCGAAAAACGGTCTTTAACTTTTGGTTTACCTTTGGCCAGGACTGAGCCTTGGCCCGCACCACTGGGAAGATCTGTGCTGAGGCATCCTGCAGGCGGCACTCTGAAGGTCTCGCGGTGCTTTTGGGCACAGGGCCACTTCAACGTGTCTCTTGCCTTCTGGTGAAGAACCTGAGTACCTACAATCACATGCCTGGGCCATGACCTAACAAGATGCCTGACTCACATATGGGGGTTTCTCTCAAATACGGTCCTCTGTGGGATTCCCTTATACCGGGGAGCGTAGGCTGAAAATTAGGGTTCCCAAAAAAGACTATAACTCAGAGAACCCCCCGATCTTTAACCCAGTCCGGCAGCCATTAAGCTCTCGGTCCTGGCGAGGAGACTCAAAAGCCTTTCCCAAGCATCGTCCATCCTGGTAAACCGTGACCTTCACCTCAGGGCTTCAGAGAGCCCAGCAAAAACCCAAAGAAGAGCTTGACCTATGTGTAGGGTTTGGGGTTTTAGGGCTTCGACTCTCACACTCGCACAAGGCAGGCAAGGCTTCAGTTCGGGTTTAAGATCTTTGAGGTCTTGTGATCCCCCAATCCTTTGGCACCAACCGCCTCACGGACGACTTTGCTCCCGAGCCGCCGTCTTGTCGTCGAACTCCGTCAGGAAACCAACGACACCACCCTTGGGGATGCCTGGGCAGCAGCTCAGCATTTTCCGCGGTAAGTGGAGCAGGGCCTTTGGCACTCACTATTCTAGGCAGTTTTCTCTTGAAGTCTTGGGGGCTTAGGGCCTTCGACTCCTTCAAGAGAGCCTACATGTTGCACCATCGAAGGCCTGAAACAGGACACTCTTAAGGGTGCTTGAGGCCAATGGCTCTCCGGTTTGGTCGGTTCAGGGTGGAGGGGTGGGCCGAGAAAGAAGTGCGTGCCCCCAACATCTTGCGGAGCCTGACAAACGCCAGCCACCTCCGAAGCCCTCAATCCGAGGCTTCCCAACAATAAACCCTAAACCCTAACCCTAACCCTAAACCCTTTAAACCCTTTAAACCCTTTAAACCCTTTAAACCCTTTAAACCCTTTAAACCCTTTAAACCCTTTAAACCCTTTAAACCCTTTAAACCCTTTAAACCCTTTAAACCCTTTAAACCCTTTAAACCCTTTAAAACCCTTTAAACCCTTTAAACCCTTTAAACCCTTTAAACCCTTTAAACCCTTTAAACCCTTTAAACCCTTTAAACCCTTTAAACCCTTTAAACCCTTTAAACCCTTTAAACCCTTTAAACCCTTTAAACCCTTAAACCCTAAACCCTAACCCTAAACCCTAAATCCTAAACCCTAAACCCGAAACCCTAAACAACCCTCGCATCCTCCCCGGCTCCCAAACCCCAAAACCAACCACCCGACCCTGGCAATTGGGCCGCCCAGCTTTCGCCGAAGCCGCCCTTGATGAGGCCGGAGCCGTTGGACAAGTTCCCGGGGCCCCCGTAGAACAGGCCCCGGCCTTGGTATGGGGCTTAGGGCTTAGGGTTTAAGAGTTGAAGAGTTTTAGGGTTAAGGGTTTAGGGTTTAGGGTTTAGGGTTTAGGGTTTAGGGAAATTTGGTACGAACAGCCGGGAATATGAAGAGGCGACACTCTCTTGTCGCATGGACCTTAACTGAAAGGGAACGACGGCCCACTGGGGGTCCTAGCCGGCACACAGTTGCGCAAAAGGTGGAAAGTCGTCGATCTGAATCTTCAATAGGCTGGGAACATACATGTTTCCACGCGCTGCACTGAGCTGCCAAGACAAAATGGAAGACAAGTAACTTCGAGTAACCTTGTTTGAGCCCGCGCTATGTAACTGCCCGAGATGGGAGTGTGCAAACGCCAGCGCCACATCACACGAAGAAGTCCATACCACTGTCAGATCACAGCATGGATTAGGAGGGTGGGGGATGGGGGGTGGCTGTTCCCAGCGCCCGGGACTTGTAGGACTGGGTTTGCTAAAGAAGCCTGTTTTGCTTCGATTGTTCGAAGGGTACTTTAGGTAGATGAGCCGGGACTACCAGGGTATGATCTTGGTACTTTACTTGGTTAGGCTCCTCTATCACACGCAAAGCCAGCCGCTCGTCCAAGACAAGGGACACTTGTAGCCCTTGCCAAAGCCTGCCTCCGTACCTCAGCTCACTGACTCCGAGGGCTGACCGACGCGAGCTGACACATTGAACTCCGTAAGCCCTTTCGCAACCTCATCTTTCAACCACGCCTTCGAAGCCTTATAAGCCCCCAAACCGTAAACATTATAACCCTAAAGGCTCCCAGACCCCAGGCCACAACATCACCTCCCTGAGCCTTCCACGTCCCTTGAGGCCCAGTGGCCGATGCCAATGAAGGGGCTGTCCTCGATGTTCTCACAGGTCACTTCGAAGTATTCGCCTCATGGGCCGAAGTGAGAATAGAGTGGGCGCAGGCTTCGGGACCCTTCTTGAAGAGAGCCAAAAGTTTGGGGTTTGGGAGCCTGGTGGATTGATTTCTTGGAACCCTAAACCCTAAACCCTAAACCCTTAACCCTAAACCCTTTTTTGAGCACGGACTGGGAAACTGCCCTAAACCCTAAACCCTAAACCCTTTTTGCTCAACCCAAACCCCTCCTCTCTCTCTTCACTCCCGCGAGCTCCTGGGCCTTAAAGCTTAAACAACCTCAAAGCCCCCGAGCAGGTTCCCTAAACCCTAAACCCTAAACCCTAAACCCTAAACCCTAAACCCTAAACCCTAAACCCTAAACCCTGTATTTCCGGGGCTTCGGCGGCTCGGTGAGAGGATGGGCACTGGCAAGGGCGAAGTTCGGGCTTCTAAGGGTTCTGATGCAGCAAAGCCCTCAGAGCCATCTGAAGCCGCCATCGAAACCCTAAACCCTTTTACACCCTAAACCCTGAAGCCCTAAAAACTCCCCCGAGCCCCCGAAACCCTAAAGCGACAAACAGGCCCGGCATTCTCAGAAAGCGGCTCGCAAAAAGGGGCCCGAATTTTTAGAACTACCCATCTGTGTTCATCATGCGGGCGGGAGGCCTGACGAGATGGGCTTGCTGTAGATGGCGCACACGGGAGAATCTCCCTGCCAGACATGCGACGTCAGCTCCAAAACCGTGACCCTCCTACATTTTTGGTCTCTCCTTGTCTGTCTCTCTGTCTCTCTTTGATGATACAGCTGTGGCGTCCTCTACACTGCAATGTCTGCTGCTGGTGCCACAATCGCCAATCAGCCTTCTAGAAAGGACCATTTCTCCATCAGCGGTTTGCCTTCGCCTTCCCGCTGATGCTGAAGCTGCCATCCTTTCCGTCTTGAACAGCTTCTGAGCCATCGTCCTGTCTCTGAGGCATCGAGAGGGGCAAGGCGGATGGCGCCGCGAGAGTGATCCTGGTTCTTTCAACCCAAATAGTTATAACTTTCAGCGCCTCTTATTGTCTTGGGCCTACTTGTGTACTAAGCAACCTGAGGAAATATCAAAGCATACTTGTTTCCTGGTGACGAAGCCTAAGCGGGTCTGCATCCGAGGCGTGCTGTGCACTGTGTGAACTCTGAACCCAACATACGCGTTTGCTGGTGGTGAAGCGGCTCTGCATCGGAGGCTTTCTGTGCTAGCCTAAGGTGGGAAGCCAAACCACCCAATCTCCTTCCTTCTCAGGGAGATGCACAGTTTGGTTGCTTCAGGCGGGTCCTTCCATGTTCCGACGGCGCCACCCAAGACTCCGCCCATGATGAGATGTTTCAGGTGCACTCACGCCCTCTACGCTTGGAGCCGGCTGCAAGTCTCGGGCACGAGAGAAAGCCAGTGCTGGGCTCAAGCCTCAGCCCAGTCAAAACTTTGCCAATTGAGTGGGCTAGGCCCTTAGGCCACAGAAGCCTTAAGATTTTGCAGAATGCGAGTGCTGGAATATGCATTCTGAACTGGTAGTGAAGCTGGATGAAGTATGATCCCCTAAAACAATGCTCTCATAACCCACCCCAAATTTTCCTTGGGTAGGAATACCAGTGGTCTCAAAAGAAAGCAGCAAGAAACTTCCATCTGATTGATTTTCGGGCAGAAAGGGTTTTCGTCTTCGTACATTTTGAATACCTAGAAGCCCGCCAAAGCCCGAAATTTAAGCGCTAAACCGTAACCCTAAACCCTAAACCCTAAACCAGGGCGTTTAGACTCCACCAGGGCCTGAAAGCTCAGGCTGCAGAGTTGCAAGGCCTAGCGGACAAGTAGGCTTGTGGCTTTGAGATTACAGCGCGTTCGGGTTTAGTGGAGGCGGGGAGGGCCTAGGGATGTTAGCCCGTTCCCACACAGAGAATCTGCCTGTTGTGGGACTTGCCGTCACGCAGCTGGATCTGTACAACTCGCTCTAAGTCATCTTAATTATGGTTCAGTCCCGTATGCGGCACAGCTTTCTTTTCACAAACACCTGTACTATACCGTGTTATGGACCCTTCCGGATGGGTTTCCGTCATGCTGCCGATGCTACCCGGAAATCTGGCCTCTTTGCGTCTTCCACTGGAGAGGTAGTGGTTTGGACTGCCCAGGCGCAGTGCTTTCCAGGCTTCGTTCATGCAGTATACTGGGACCAGGTGGGCCACAAAAACGTTTTCTTCGTAATGTTTCATCCCCTCAATGGAAACACCGGCATCGCATGTGCAAGCTGCAAACCGCTTTTGTCCTACACGATTGTCCATGAACCCTGGTCCTCTCGGAACAGAATTGCGCAGCAAGACGTTCGCAAACAATGTTACATGTTACAGTACCAAGTGCAAGCGCCGATATTTTGCGACTGGCAAGTCATCCTTCCGGCGGTTCGGACGCAGGCTCCGGCCTGACTAGAGGACATGTTGGTCGTGCGTCCGCAAGCTTGGGTTTCAGGGTAAACTAAGGTTTCGGGCCTGTCGGGTTTAGGCCTCTAAAGCCTCAAAATCTCGCAGCAAAACCCTTGTTTTGAACCCAGAACCCTTAACCCCAAACCCTGCGTGAACCCTACGTGAACCCTACGTGAACTCTACGTGAAAACCCTACGTGAACCCTACGTGAACCCTGCGTGTACCCTAAAGGTCCCCCACCCAACACACAGGCTCGCGCCTGAGCTCGTCCGCTCCCTCCTCCGGAGCCGAATGCGGGCGCTGCCTCATCATACTTTCTCTTTTAGTGTTAGTATATAGTATATATTGCTTTGTTACTACTGCACTATAACGTATGTTGCTGTGTTTGTTTGCTATATCGGTATGGCTATTTTCTTATAGTGCTATACTGCTATTGTTCCAGCAAGTGGGGGTTGCTAGATGTTGAGGAGAAAGTAAACAGCAGGCAGTACAGCTTTGGGCAACTGCAGGCGGCCAGACAGGCTCAAACGGGCAACTGTACCGAAAAATGTTGCCTTAACAAGCAGGCCATGGAGTCTCAGGCCGGCAGCCGTACCAATTGCTGCAATATGCAACACACGACTGTACCGGAATGTTACGAATGTTGCCTTAAGAAGCGGGCCAAGGAAGCTAATCGTACCGGAATGTTGCTTTGACCGGCAGGCCAGGTTAGGCAATGGCAGGCCAGGGGGGCTCAGGCGGGCAGCTGCATCTGAGCAGCGTCTTTATAGGCCAGGGAGGCTCAGGCGAGCAGTTGTAGGGGAACGGTGCCTGCAGAATTATGAACGTCAGGGAGGCCGATATTGCCTCTACAGGTAGGGCAGGGAAGCTTCTGGTAAGCCTGTCCATGGTGCCGAAATGCTAGGCCAGGGACGTTAATCCTTGCGATTCAGTTTTTCTTGCGGACAGGGTGGGGGGAGGTTCGAATGGTGATTATATGGTTATATCCCCCCCAATTGATCCCAAGCCCCAGCCATGCTGACGTTGGTCCTTTGAATTTCGGGCTGAGGGTTTAGGGTTTAGGGTTTAGGGTTGAGGTTTAGGGTTTAGGGTTTAGGGTTGAGGATTTAGGGTTTAGGTTAGGGTTTAGGGTTGAGGTTTAGGGTTTAGGGTCGTGCGCCTAAACCTTAACTCCTTTCAGGGCTCAGGGAGTAGGGTTCCAAGCTTCGGGCTTTGTCCCCAGCCGTAGGCCCCAAACCCTAAACCCTAAACCCTAAACCCTAAACCCAAAACCCAAAACCCTGAACCCTGAACCCTGGTGAAGAGGGATTTGCGAGGAGCTGGCTTGGCCAGCTCCAGAGCCTGCTGCACTTTGCGTTGCCTCGAGGGGGTTTCGGGGGAGGCTTCTGGCTCTTGAGGTCTTCGGGACTTTGGTTTCTACTCTGATGTGTAGGGTTTAGAGTTTAGGGTTTGAGCAGCCTGGGATTTTTAGTTTCGTCTCAAGGCTTTAAGGGTTTCAGGGCTTTTGGTCTCATGGACCTTTGAGGGCCTGGGAGGTCTAGTCCCTTACGGGCTTATTCCTTTACGTCTCGGGTTTTACGCGATCTGAGGACCCCAGGCAGTTTAGGGGTGCCCAGACACATGTTCGAGCGTTGAAGAGTTGAGTTGGGAGTGGGACATCTTCGGCACTGTTCCACGAGGAGTGCACGGTGAGGGGCTGAAGAGGCTGACTGAGGCTTCTTACTCACTGAGGGGGCCCTAGACCCTTTCGGAACCCGGTTACCAGCCAGCGAGGAAGCACTCGTGGCTACCCCGATGTAACCCTTCTGTGGATTTTTATTGGGCCCCTACACTCCGTACACGCCACGCGAGCTTACTTGGTTCTTGGGCGGCTGCTTATGTGCGTTCGCACCATAATCCCAGATGAATGCCGAGCCCTAACAACCCCGAAGATCCGCCCAAACAGTATCCTTGGACCCAGACCAGCATCCAAACCCTACATCCTCAAACCCCGCAAATCTTCACACCCAAAGGCCCTCAGACTCAGAACTCTTTCGCCTAAGAAGCCCTGAGCCCCCCCCCTAAACTTAAACCTCGTTGGGCCCTACTCAGCCCCGAGGTAAACCCAAAACATGCCACTTTCTCCTAAGCCCTAAACCCTAGACCACGGCTCTCAACCTTGAGAGCTCTTCCCCTGAACCCTTTTGAGCAGCGGACTTTGCGGCGGCTGGCACAGCATCCCTAAGCCGCTAAACCCCTACAACCCAAAGCCCTAAACCAATAACCTCAGACCCCTAAGCACCTAAACCCTAAACCCCAGACCCCTGACCCTAAACCCTAAACCCTAAACCCTACACCCTAAACCCTAAACCCCTCAACCCTTAAGCCCCATTTGCGGGCCTTTCCCGTTCCATCCGCTCCAGCGACATCGCCCTCCTCGAGCGTCGGGTCCGAGGCTTCGGCTTCGGGGCGAAGCCCGGGCTCTGCGCCCTTTGCCACGAGGGGTTTAGGGTTTAGGGTTGAGGGTTTAGGGTTTAGGGGTTTAGGGGTTTAGGGGCTTAGGGGTGTAGGGGTTTAGGGGTTTAGGGGTTTAGGGAGTTTAGGGGTTTAGGGGTTTAGGGGTTTAGGGAGTTTAGGGGTTTAGGGGTTTAGGGGTTTCGGGGTTTAGGGGTTCAGGGGGTTTCGGGGTTTAGGGGTTTAGGGGTTTAGGGGTTTAGGGGTTTATAGGGTTTATAGGATTCATAGGATTCATAGGATTCATAGGGCTTAAAGGGCTTGTAGGGTTTTTGTAGGGTTTTGCCAGGGTTTATAGGGTTACATAGGGTTTATGGGGTTTAGGGTTTATAGGGTCTTTTGCTTTGGTACACTTCTTTCTAGGGTTCGGGGTTGAGGGCGCATGTAGGGCCGTGATGATGGTTTCGTTTGGGTTTACAGGCTCTACAAGGTTGTTTAATTAGTCGGGGCTGTTTGGGGGGTGGCTTTCAGGGTGGGGTTTAGTCAGGTTAGACCTTATGTGAATCGGAGGGTTTAGGAGACTTGCAGGGTCCAAGGCAGTGTGGCTTCTGGGATTTCGATTTTGAATTTAGGGGCTCAAGGGCCTTCATATAATCGGGCGTTGACCGTCTCACACCCGCAGGGCGGCAATAGGTTTCGGTCCGAGCGTCTCATGATCTACGGCACTTTCGATGCTTCAACACACAAGCTGTCAAGAACGCCAAGTCCCTCGAGTCCAATGCACTCAAACCCACGCCAAATCCATCACGTATAGGGTTCTTAAGGGAGCGGGGGTTCAGGGTATAGGTACCTAGGGAATCTTAGTGAAGTTTAGGGAGCCTTCGGGAGTAGTAGGGAATACATACCCCCCCTTGACCCCCCCTCCCTTACGAACCCCAAATCCATGACACCTGGCCTCTCCTTAGGAGATGTGGGCGACTTTGGTGGGTGATACTCTTGTCCGAGTGCGATCTGCAGCAAGGGTTTAGGGTTTAGGGTGTAGGGTTTAGGGTTTAGGGTGTAGGGTTCAGGGTTTCGGGTTTAGAGTCTAGGGTCTAGGGTCTAGGGTTTAGGGTTCAACAGGAAACGCCGCCGCACCCAAGAAAACAGCATGTCAGATCACCGTGGTGTTGTCGGGGCAAGGCAGATACTTCTGCCGCCGGCCTAGCTGACGGAGTCACATTACAGGGCATGCACGCGCATCCACGCGGAGACTTGGGGAACTGAGGTACCTGGGTTGAGGCGGCAACCCTAAACCCCTAAAGCTTTCTGGCAAGAGTTCAGTGTGCGCAAACTCCGGCCTCCGAGTCGTCCCACATTGCACTCCCCGCATTTCCCAGCAACGAACCGACCGTCAAGCACGAAGCCCAGCGTTTGGGGCCCGGGTGGGTTTAGGGTTTATAGGGTATAGGGTATAGGGTATAGGGTTTAGGGTTTAGGGTTTAGGGTTTAGGGTTTAGGGTTCGAGCCCCCGCGCCTTCACAAGCTCGGGGTCGAAACGCAGGGACTGGTGCACGAAATCCAGGGCCTGGGGTCGGTTCGCCAGGGCCTGGCAAGGTGGGCCCCTCAGAGCCGTTGTTTGGGGCTTTAGGGTTTAGATTTTTTTTTTGCCACCCGCTTAGCTGACCTCTCGGACACTCTGCAGGGAACTGGCGATAGAAGTGTATGGGGTTGTTGTTGGAGTTGCCGCTTTGTGGGTTGAGTGGTTAAGTCCACATTCAAACCCCACTAAAGGTCAAAGGCCAAGCTCAGTCGATAACCAAGGACAATCCCCTCAACCCAGTCGCAACTCATCAAGCCTCGCAAGAGAGGGTTTAGATTTAGGGTTTAGGGTTTAGAGTTGTTTAGGGTTGTTTAGGGTTGTTTAGGGTTGTTTAGGGTTGTTTAGGGTTGTTTAGGGTTGTTTAGGGTTGTTTAGGGTTCAGGGGGATCGATGTTAGAGGCCCTTGTCTCCTGTACTAGGGTTTCTGTGGACTGGGATGTGCTCCCACCCAGTCGGCGGAGTTCTGGGAAATGGCTGCTTTGACCCTAGAAAACCTCATCTCGAAGCCCCAATTGCATCTCCGTGACCTTCAGGAGGAACTTCCTGTCCCTCTTCAGCTCATCGTCAGCACACTGCAAGGCTCGTCCGTCCTGGCTGCATATTGTAGCTACAGCCCTCTGCACTGCACCATCTTGATGGGCGGGCTTGGATCATACAGGAGTGTAATTAAACAATACCTTAGGTGTTTCACAGACTAGAAACAACACATAAATCCCAAAGAGACTCTAATGGCAAGGTTATGTCCAGACCTGCTCCCACTTGCGACCTGTCGCACTTTTCCCACGCATGGAATGCAAGAGAGTCACATGTGCATTTCGAATCAGAAACGGCTATCTTTGGCCTGCTGATGCTTTAGCTTTGTCCTGATATTGACCATGGGGTAGAGCAATGAAGTGCTCACACTTGAAAATGGTGACCACTTGCTTGGTTGGCTTGAGCCAGCGAATCCCACAACGTCTAGGATCAGATCGCAAAGCTTGAACTAAACACTGCCCACGCATTCTGCGCCCTCCGGTGTGGAGGTTCACACTTCCTCAGCGGCAGTCAGAGGCAGCACCTGATGACTTTCACGACTGGTTTACAACATGTGTCAGCTTGCGACGTGTTCCTTTTCAGCAGCAAGGTATGCAAGAAACAGTTGGGCGGCTTGTTCTGGCGAAGATGTCCCAGCTTAACTGGGACAGGGACGCTCCATCCATGCACCTGCTACACTCAGACTGCCCCATGTCCTGGAGCCTACTTACACTGCGCACTGGCTTCCAGTCGCTAGCGATTCTCTTCATGGTAAGCCCGCTTGCTGGCAGGATGTGTGCAACAGGAAACTTGCAGGGGGCATTCCACTGCCACTTTGCGCTGGAAGTCATGCAAGCCAGTAGGATGCAACATGTGGATGCAGCAAGGTTTTGCGCTTGTGCGTGCGGACAATACGGCAGTGCAGCGTGCACCATTGGGACCATTCTCTGCTTCAGACCAACCAGACCGGATTTGTCCGCTTTAGTTGTATTGTACAGCTTCGGTTCCGTAGCACGACCGTGACCTCTTGAAATATCGACGAGGCAACAGCTTGAGATGCCAATTTCACATTGCTTCCACAGACCCACAAGGCGTTCAATTGCTTCGACTAGCAATGAACCGGGTGTGAGGCTCAAGGCCAAAACCCTGAAATTAGGTTTCGGCTGAGGCATTTCAACCGAACTGAAGCCCCGAAACAACGCAGAAGCAAGACGCCCCAAGGCACCAGCCAACCTGGACTGCTCCTTATTGGGGGGGGGGGGTGTATGGAAGCTCGGGCAGATTTTTAACAGCAGTTGGTACCCTCTGCTTTCGATGCCAAGCCACTTACTGCTGGTTAGTAGGGAATTGGGGGAATGAGGTACCCTATAGAATCCCCTAACCCTAAACCCTAAACCCTTTTGCAACGAGCTTGGCTACGCTCCCGCCCGGCTTGGCTGTCCCAATACCCTGCACTCGTGACAGGGCCTCGGCGACGACTCAGACACTTATAGAGTCGAGTCTCTCAGCAACTTTTCTTGAGACCTGATTAAATTAAAACCCTAAACCCTAAACCGTAATCCCTTTTCCCGCATTCCCTGCTAACCAACAGTAAGCCCATCTGCCAAGCCCGGGCGCGCCGCCGGCCGCCTCCGCGCGAGCGCAGTCGGCGCCAGCTTCGGAGGGGAGGAGGTAGAGCCTTGATTAGGGTTTAGGGTTTAGGGTTTAGGGTTTAGGGTTTAGGGTTTAGGGTTTAGGGTTTAGGGTTTAGGGTTTAGGGGGTTTAGGGTTTAGGGTTTAGGCTTTGGGCTTCTTTGCCACGCATAGAGATGTTTCACGAAGATAGGGGTTCTCAATAGAGATCCCCAAATCGTCGGATCCCCTTATGATTGAATAAGGACCCCAACAAGGTACCCCTACTTTCGGAAACCCCCATGTTGTTGCAGAAACCACTCTACTCCGCAGGGGGCTGATTCGGGGTCGGGAGGAAAGCAGCAAGGTCCGGTTCTGCAAGCTTGGACTCTGAAGTCGACTTGTTCCCTTGAGGGTTTAGGGTTTAGGGTCAGATGAAAAAAAGTAGGGTTTAGGGTTTAGGGTTTAGGGTTTAGGGTTTCGGGTTTAGGGTTTAGGGCTTAGGGCTTAGGGCGCCCTCTGAGAGAGCAGCCAGGCCCAAAAGTTGAGTGGGGCGATGTAGGCCGCAATGACGACATCCACTGTGTAGTGGTTGTGCCTCTGGCTCAAGTTTCTTGGTTGGCCAGCATCCTTGGGGAACTAAAGGTGAACCTTTGGGAATCGAATACCCCAAAAAAGTAGAAGGATACCTACTCTACTACTAAGTTTTCCCGTCTTAGCTGTAGAATCGGAGGAGGGATACGATGCAAAGGCTTCAGGTGTATAGGATTCGGTCTTCGACCCTCTGCGACATCAATCTCGGCCTTCAATCCGCATAAACCCATCTAAGATGTGCGGATCAGCCCAAGGCGCACAGTCACAATGCAGAACACCTGCAGGAGCATGATGATGATCCTTGCATTCGGGCACGGACAGCGTATCGGGTCAGGCTGGTAGCAGACGGTCTGCTCCCGAAGTCTAGGAAACTTTCGGGTTTGTATCTTCCCCATACACCGGCTGTGTAGTCTCTCATTCCATAAGCCTCCTCCCCACTGCCTGCCTCGCCCTGATTCCCTGGTAGCCCAGAACATGCCTAGGTCTCTAAGCCCTAAACCTTACCTGGGGATTCCCTTGAAGGCTTGCCGTGCGAAGCCAGCATCGACACGATGATGAGGAGCTTCGTCAGCCGTTCCGGCAGCATTTGCCCCGCATAGTAGCACCTGGCATCAAAACTGCGACCACGACGGCCACTTCCAGACATACGCAGAAACACTCACAAGCCCACGACACCCTGAAGAAACACATCGAGATTCGAGGTGTCTAAGCCGCCAAGGGTCGCCGCCACCAGCATCGTGGCTGTCGTCACCTGGGCGGCAGGCATGCCGCACCCAACAAGGCAAGAATTCCAAAGCAGGGGCACAGCAGTTCAGGCCACGGCTGTGTGGCCACTGAAGACGAGATCTCCGCAGTTGCTGTTGTGCGTGAAGTTGTACCTTTGCAAGCCCAGGAAAGGCGAGTTTCTTGAACCCATGCCCGCGCTGTTCGAAGTTCGATCAACATTCGACACCCAATCAGTGTAAGTAGGCGAGCTGGAGGTCCGATTGAATCTGTAGCCTTGACTTGACTTGGCCAGCTCGTAGTCATGTGGGCGCACAGTAACGGAGGTGAGCCTAACTGCGGCATATTCATCATGCCAGAAGCACGTTCGCGGCAAACGGGAAACTCACGTTAAAATCTAAACGTTAGCAGGCACAGGTACATCCACATAAGCACAGAGCCGCCTTCAGCAGCTCAGCCAGTCGTCATGCTGACTTGCACTGCCACACAAGCCCTTGCACCTGATACTAGCAAAGACACGTGTCGACAAACAGGTCCCATACCTCAGCATTCGACAAGCGACCAACTGGCGGCTTGCTGCGCGTGCTCTACGCACAAGCCGCTCAAAACTCCCTCGAGCCACTTGGCTTAGCCTTACTGAAGAGAAGTTGCCGTGCGCACGTGCTTCTGGTTCTCCTCGCCGCCGTGCAGTGAATGAAGCTCAGGAGGTTACTACGCCCACCACTCGCGGGATTCCTTCTGAAAAGACGTTTGCAGCTCCGGTGACCCTTAGCACCAAACGTGAACCCAACAGCAGGGGCCCATTCGATTCGAATGGGCTTCTATTACAGCTTCGGCATTTCCCATCGGCCTCCCAGCCGCCTTTTGGTTGGCCTCCAGTCCATCGCACACTCCTCGGGCTTCGGCTCAGGCACTCTAGTCTCGAGGTGCAGGAAGGGTGTGTGTGTGGTAGTAATTCTTTAAATAATACCAGCAACTGATGTACCCATAACAACAGTCATCACGACACACATAATGTTGCTAATAACTTATATCTTATCACTTATCATAGCTTACAACTTCTAACTTCTGACTTCTAACTTATAACTTATAACTAGCAATGAACAGACGAAGAATGATAACCAACACCATCAGACCCTTTGTTCCCATTGTATGACACTCGGGTATGATGTGCATCTCTTATCCTCGGTTTCAGTACTAAGATAAATACCAGCAACCGCAATTCTAGTCCTAAAGGCCATGAAAAAGCCACAGCTGTTTGCTACGGTGAATAGGGTGTAGGGTTTAACTGTTTAAGAGTGTAAGGATCTAAGGGTCTAAGGATTCAGGGTTTCAGGGTTTCAAGGGTTCAAGGGTTTAGGGCCTTTAGGGGTTTCAAGGGTTCAAGGGTTTAAGGGTTTAAGGGTTTAAGGGTTTAAGGGTTTAAGGATTTGGGGGTTTAAGGGTTTAGGGGTTTAAGTGTTTAAGGGTTTTCCAGCATGCGGGAAACATGTGCTGCAATCGCGAGTGGATGGTTGAATGTTGCGTCTGGCCCCATCACGCCAGACCTGGAAGATCCTCCCTCGGCTTGCTTTCAGGGTTTGGGGTTTGGGGTTTAGGGTTTAGGGTTTAGGGTTTAGGGTTTAGGGTGTAGGGTTTAGGGTTTAGGATTTAGGGTTTATGTAAGGTTTAAGGTTTAGGGTTGAGGCACCTGTCCTACAACAAGCCTCTCCCTGTGGCATCCCGAGCCTCTTCTCCACACAACTATCAACTATCCCTGGAACCCTTTTTGCATCCAGGTCCCCAGCCAGCTGGATGAGAGTTAGGTGCGAGGGCGAATAAGAAAAGTCTCGCGAAATTGTGGTGCCTTGGGACCCTAAACCCTTAACCCCTTCAGAAACACCAAGTCTGGGCCCACGGCTGGCAGTGCGGCGCCGCACCGGGGAGTGTCGTGGCCAGGTAGGTGGGGATCTGCACACCATCGACAAACAGCCAGGTTTGAAGAAAGTTTTAGCTTTGGTTCAGGATTTAGGGAACTAGGTGGCCTATGTCAATGTAATCGCATTATGAGCAAGAAGGGGGCTGGTTCCAAACTTCACATATTAAGATCGGAGTTGAAGTTTCGGTTTTTCGGCGTCACAGGGGTTTGGGGTTTAGTCTTAAATTAAGGCTTCAGATGACTTTCCTCACTTACGAGCCCGCCGCAAACTGAGGGGGGGAACTTCCCCCAATATAATCATGATGGGTTGAATCGGCTTCGTAAAACCCCGGCGAAAAGCTTCAGTGTCTTGCTGCTGGCATGACTAAGATGGCTAATTAAAAGCCAGGCGTCTCGATGCCTTGCCGAGACTGAACTTTGAGCCATACACTTTACATCTTGGGATGTTCCCCCGTTTACTAACCGTCCTCAATACGGATTATAACAGGGGGTACTATAATCCCATTAAGGACTGTTATAACATCAGCTTAAGAAGCCCCGGATGCAAGGCTGAGTAGGCTGAGTGAGCGGCGCGCAGAAGGTGCATGACGAAGACGGCCCGCAGGGTTCCTCGGCTCATTTGTATGTATCTAGGTGTATTTAAGCGTGCTCATTTATGATGATTTTGTTGAGTAATTGAATACTTCATTAGTGAAGATATGATTATGTAGGTCTACCTGAGTTCCAGAATCGCGTGCGCATTTTGGCAGCCCAGCTACGATAACAGCGTGCCACCTCCTGCGAAACGAACACATGCGACCTTGCTCTCATCGAACAGAGTGTCTTGCGCCACCCATTTTGATTTGTTGTCACCCCGCCCACACACACACTCTTTTTTGTGATCTTTTGAAGTGGCGGAGGTAGCAACCGTGATTCAACATCCTCAAATCAAGCAGAAGAAGATTTCGACAAGTCCTCAACAGGGAAGATTTTCTCCAGGCCCAAGAACTCGATTCAACCAGAAGTTCATGAAAAAAATTGTCTGCGCACAGGCAGCGCTCCATCTTCTAGCCCTTGATGAGTGCCCGCAGTAAAGGCCAAGGCTCGCAACACCATGGCCGCAACATAGGGCCGCTTCTTTCCCTGGTAGGAGACAAAGACAGGCAGGAGGACGATCAGCCTTGGTGTCAAACATCTCCTATGTAGTTCCTGCACTCACTCCGTAAAGCACGAGGCAGCAGATTCCCAAAAGTCTCGCGTTTCAAAGTGGCGACTTTGGTCACATTTGGCGGCATGAGTCGGACTGCCCATGAGCCCATGAGGTTCGCGCCTATGTGAGATCCCATGAAGGGCCCCGATACCAGTGCCCGGGGTAGAAAGGTTTCGGGCCTACTGACTGTTGCATCCCTGCTGTTCTCTCGGCTCTACTGCTCTCGACAAGGCGGAGTGCATCTATTTGTCTATAGATCCCTACACGGTTGTGTTCTTTACTCCAGGAACGGAGGCCGGCGGACCCTGAAGTATTCGGGCCTCAGGCCGCGGCACCCATATCACGATGGCGCTGCCTCACAGATGGGTTTCGAAAATCTCGGTTCCGGTCTCGCGTCCGTCTGGTGTGAGCTGACCAACGTGTCTTGGAGCAACGCAGCATATCCCTTTGAACCCACCCTGGGGTGCCGTGTTTCGGTGACTCCTGCCGACCAAGCATCAGCCTCTCAAAGCAAGCACGAGGGAGGACCCAAAACCCGAAACTTATGTGGCTTTTTTGCGGCCCTGGGTTCTCCAGAACTCAGCCAGCCCACCTGGAAAACCCAAACTCTTGGACCCTTCAGGCCTGCGACGAACTCACTGAGGAAGGACACCTCCGCGGTGTGCGAGAAGTCTGGCAGATACTCCTCAGGGGCCGTCTGTTTGGCATCTAGAATGCCTGAAAGGCCTGAGACGCAAAAAAGTTGCCGTCTAGGAGGCCCTAAAACCTTGTTTGAAACTGGACTGGAATCGACTGCCAGGAAAAGAACACACACACACACACACACACATCTCTCTCAGCCGCGGCCAAAACCCTGTACCTAAACCCGGAACCCTAAACCCAAAACCCCTAAACCCTAAACCCTAAACAACCCAAAACCCTAAACCCGAAACTGTGGGAAGCCGGCCACTTCACGAAACCTTAGCCCTACCAAATGTCCAACTCTTTGTCAAGTCTCAGTCCTTGTTGGGTCAAGCCTTGGTCCCTGCATCCCTTTTCTCAGGGCCTTCATGATATAAGGGACCCTAAACCCTAAACCCTGAACCCTAAACCCTAAACCCTAAACCCTTAGCTTCCCCCCCTTCCCCACCACAACACACTCTGCTGCACGGCAAGAGCCTGTGAGATATCTCGCAGATTGAACCTCAGCGGTTGGCGGACGTGCGAGGTAGGGGGGTTTAGGGCTTAGGGTTTTACAAGGGTTAGGGGTCTAGGGTTTAGGGAGTCTAACTAGGCTGGCTCTTATAACTCTCTGAAAATTATTCCTAAATGTCAATCCTCTTAAACCCTATTGTGTTTAGGGTGTCGGCTTTAGGGTTTTGAATATAATCCTCTAAAACCCAAAAAAGGGGAAAGCGCAAGAAATCCCAAGGGCCTGCCTAGTTATCAGGGCCCCTTCCATGGCGAACTTCATGTCAATAGCTGTACAACGTGGATATTATGCATACATGATACATCTCTTCTTTATTTATCTTCTTCATTTCTCTCTCTCTCTCTCTCTCTCTCTCTCTCTCTAATAGCTTCCTATCATGGGGGGTCACGGACCAGGGTGGCGGCTTATGGGTATGCAATGACTAGAACTGCTTTATGGCTCCATGTTCGGCTCCTTCGGGAACACCGCAATACCCAACGCCAAACCTCCCTTAGGTCCGTCAGGACTAAGGATCGACTGCTTGGGATTGAAGAAGCTACAAAGCTACTCTTCGCAACTGCCATCGGAAGTTTGCGAAATTTCTGAAACCAGGCGATCACGCAAAGTCTGATTATAACTATACGAGAATGTATCCTGCCAAACCCTCAACCCTAAACCCTAAACCCTAAACCCTGAACCCTAAACCCTAAACCCTAAACCCTAAACCCTAAACATGACCTGTCTCAACTGCGAAGGAGCTACGGCATGCCACCCAGCGCAGACAGGTTCGTTCGAGGCGCCTTCTTGCACAAACATAGCTTCGGACTTTGGTGAGCATGCAGGATCATGCAGGCTGAAATCGTCTGAACCTTTCCGATACACACCTGAATGTCAATGGAGATGTTCCAGCCGTGGGAGTATTGCGATCCCTCCAGCACCTGCAGGCCAGACAGCCCTGCAATACTTGCAGTGTTGATGGTGTTGCTCATGGATAGTCACATTTTAATCTGGTCCATAGTCGTACGGTCTTTCTTGTCGCTAATCTGTGGGACATGAATGCGCAAGCCGATCGAATCCCGCTGTTTTCGTCTCGTTCCCGCTCGCACGTCGAGGCAGGCTGTGGCATCACAGCTTCAAGGCCCTGGAGCACTCGGCAGCGCGTATGCTGGTGGGAGCGCAGCGCCGGCCACGGTCGCCGCGATGTACTTCTGCCTCCGATGTCTATGGCCAGTTCATCTTTTGGGCCTCCTGCAGCGTCTTCGGTGCTTGGCCCCCCATCTTCCGACATCTTTCCGGGAGCTTCAAGACTTCGACGGGGGGGTCATGTCTTGGGCCGCCCCCTTACGCAGCGGGCGCGACCGGCTCCGCAGCTTGCAGCACGAAGGGCACCGGCTGCGGCACGGCTGCATATGTCAGGGCAGGAGACTCCTGCTGAAGTCTCTTGGCCGCCTGCTCCTTCTTCAACGTTGCCTGCAGCTGGCAGAAGCTCGAGCTACACAGGTCGCGCACACATCCTAGATTTTCCCAAAACCTCTCAGGACCCCTTCACCCTCTAAGTTGCTACTTTCCGGCTTTGAAGTCCAAGGCCTTCGACCACGTGCATAGGTGGCAGCGTGGACACATTTCCTGGCAGCATGGAAAAAAATCGGGTGGCAACCATGTGGCACCGGATGTAAAAATATGCCGAATCGATGGCCAGCTCTGGAAATGAGGATCCCCTTCGGGGTCCCTGTTGCAGTTGTGGGGTCCCAGTTACAATTTCGGCTTCCTTGGTCGAGCCGGCACCGGCTGACAGTTTGGGAGCCTTGGTGGTTCAAACTGTTTTGGGAGCGCGCACCCCGAAAACTAGCAGCCCTTCCCAGATCCACCTTTATGCCACAGAAGACAGCTGGATCGCAACTGGCGTTTGCAACCCCTAACCCTAAACCCCAAACCCTAAACCCCAAACCCTAAACCCTCAAAAGGCGACTGGGACACACATATCTGCCAACCACAGGTCCTTGTTGACGCAGCCAGCTTCCCGCTTCATGAAGCGGCAGGCCCAAGCACATTGTTCGGGATGACCTCGCAGTAGGCTGGGGAGACCCCGTCTCAAAGTGCCCCCTTGTCTGAAGCTAGATCTAAACATATGGTACCCCCCCCCCAGTTATCCACACCTTTTCTGCTTGTTTTGTGTTTTTTTCTTGTTCTGGCACGCGTATTTCTGATTTTCGTTCGTGATTTGTTTTCTTTGTCCCAGCGTGTTGATTTATTTTTCATTCTTTGTCTATATCTAGTTGCTTATCTATATGTTCATCTTGCACCCGTAGAGACCGGTACAAACCGGTACAAATCGGTACAAGTTGTGCCGGCCCCCACCCCTGGAACCAAGAACCAAGAACCAAGATTGCAGGGAGGTCTTGCCCTGCAATCTTGGTTCTTGGTTCTTGGTTCCATGGGGCCGGTACAACTTGTACCGATTTGTACCGGTTTGTACCGGTCTCTATGTTGTCGAAACATACGGGCCGGTACAAGCCGGTACAAACCGGTACAAGTTGTACCGGCCCCATAGAACCAAGAACCAAGAACCAAGAACCAAGAACCAAGATTGCAGGGCAAGACCTCCCTGCAATCTTGGTTCTTGGTTCTTGGTTCCAGGGGTGGGGCCGGTACAACTTGTACCGTTTTGTACCGGCTTGTACCGGTCCGTGTGTCTCGACAAGTTTAAGGATTTCAAGGGCTTTTGAAAATTTAGATGGGCCGGGCCTTTTCCCAAAATAACTATTTTGTTTCAAAATTTCAAGGGTTTCAGGACTTTACGGATTTTGGAAAATTCAAGCGGGCCGGGCCTTTCCCAAAATAATTTAACCTTTTTCAAGATTTTACGGATTTAAAAGTATTTAAGTGGCCTTTTACATTCCCTACAACCCTTAAAAGTTTGAAAGCCAAAGGCCTTTCAAAATCTTAAGGAGTTTGAGGGTTTTAAAGAATTGAAGGGTTCTTCTAAATTCCTTAAAATCCTTAAAACTTTGAAAGGGGGAACAGAACCATCAAATTGTGGGCAAAGGTGAGTCGTACACAGGGCTATAAGGTTCTAATCCTATAGGTAATGCCTCCACCTTAAGCCTTTGAACCCTCTAGGCCTACAGGGTTTAAACCCTATAGGGCTAACCCCGTGAGGGCTTTAGAGATAAACCTGGAAAAGTCCTGAGCCTTTAAACTTTATGGGGTTTTAAGGTTTAAAGACCTAAGGTCTGGGCATGTATACCTTCAGCGCCTATAGGGTTAAAACTTTTGAGGCTTTTAGAGCCCCATAGGCTTTCACGGTTCTGACCCTAAAGGGCTTAGGATTTAGTTTTAAATGCTTAAACCGTAAGCCCTTATGATTTAAACTCTATGGGCTTACAAACCTTGAAGACCCCCAAAACCTTTGAACCCGATACCTGCTTATTCTTTGCAATTCCACCAAGCCCTCAAAACAGAGGCATAACCATATGGGATTTTAGGTTTGGGAACTTTACGCCTCAAGCCTTGCAGGGTTTTTTCAGGCTCTAATCCTATAGGCAATGCTTAAACCTTACGCCCTAAACTGTTAAACCCTATAGGCCTAGAGAGTTCAAACCCTACAGGGCTAACCCCGTGAGGGCTTCAGAGATCAACCTTGGGAAGCCCTAAACCTTTCGACTTTATGTGGTTTAAACGTAAAAACCAAAGGTCTGGGCATGTATACCTTTCATCGCATATGGGTTTAAACCTTTTGGGGCTTATAGAGCCCCATAGGCTTTCAGGGTCTTGACCCTAAAGGGTCAGGTTTAGATGCCTAAATCGTAAACCCTTAAGGTTTAAACTCTATGGGCTTAGGTTTACATACCGAGATCTTAAATCTTCAAACCGATTAACCCTATAGGATTTAAAGGTTAAGGGTTTAGGTGTAATTGCTTAACCTTGAAACCCTATGGATCTCAAGGTTCAGGTTTCAGGTTTAACCCTAAACCCTATCGGCTTTAAGCCTTAAACCCCAAAGGGTTTCGGGGCGTCTCTTTTTATGAGACTTAAACCTTATCCGACAGGGTTTTAGAGATGAGCCCGGAAAGAAAAAGCATTTACAAAACCAGGGAGCGGAGCGGAAGGGAGGGGAGGAGGTCGCTGTGCCCAGTGTTTGGACAGATGGAGAGGACTCAACATGTCAAGGATTGCATACATTTACGTTATGTAGAGGGTTGGGTTATTGGGGGGGGGGGGGGAAGTTCAGGGGTCACCGCGGCCCGTGAACGATTTAATTGGCTCGCAACCACAAAAGGTGTGGATAACCACAAAAAAGCGTGGATAACCCGGGGGGGGGGGGTAGCAAATATATATATATATATACATATATACAGACATACATACAGACATACATACATACATACATACATCTCATTCATTCATTCATTCATTCATTCATTCCATTTCATTTCATTTCATTTCATTTCATTTCATTTCATTCCATTCCATTCCATTCCATTCCATTCCATTCCATTCCATTCCATTTCATTTCATTTCATTTCATTTCATTTCATTTCATTTCATTCCCATTCATTCCCATTCATTCCCATTCATTTCCATTCATTTCCATTCATTTCCATTCATTTCCATTCATTCCATTCATTCCATTCAATTCCATTCATTTCATTTCATTTATATACACATGTATATATACACACATATGCATATACCCCATGAAAGTTCAAGGGCGGGGGATGCAACCCTTGGGCCCCGCCTCTCGATCCGATGGAAGCCGCTGTCGCGTTTGGCGCCTGCTCCCCATCCTGCCACACCGAAGAACCTCCCGGCCTCCTTTTGGAGGTGCCCCTTTTTATGGCAAGCTATGGGATGTTCCCCCTTAATTATACTAACAGTCCTTAGTAGGGGGGGGGGGGGTTACTCGAATCCCTACTCAGGATTGTGAGTATAAGGGGGAAGCTCCCAAGCAGTGGCTCTGAAAGGAGATTCGCGCCCCAGAGTGGGATGGGCAGACGTGGTAACTGTTGCTGTGGGGGAAATTCTACTCAACCTCGGCCGGCCCAACACCTCAAAGACCCAATGCCAGTCTTCAAAACACCCAAAACACGTAAAGACAGGCTTTTTGCAACTCGACTCTAACCCCTCCCGCCCCCCCCCCAAAACAAAACTCAACCACCGGTTGCCCGAAGCAGCCCCTTTGACCTTTCCAGCGCCTGGTACTGGTACTGTGGCTCCAGGGCCTGAACAGGGTTTAGGGTTCGGTCTGAGGGTTTCCAGGGCTCGTTTATGTGAATCCAGGCGGCAAGCGCCACTTGTAGCAGGTGAGGCAAATCCCAGGACTCCACTCTCAGAGCACGCATCGCGACCAAGATGTATTTGTTTCATTGCTTTCAACTTCTGTGGCCTCAACACCACCCGTTCTGGAGCTGGGACTAAGCCTACCCCCTCCCAACGCCTTGGTCCGACGCTCCATCTTCAGCGCAGTTTTCGACCAGGGGCAGAGGTGGCAACGTGGGCACTGGCGACCGTGAACACAGCCAGCGGGCCGCTTCCTGGCTCCCCCAGATGTCAAGGCTATACCAGGGGTTTAGGGTTTAGGGTTTAGGGTTTAGGGTTTAGGGTTTAGGGTTTAGGGTTTAGGGTTTAAGGTCTTCAATTCTTGTTATTTCGGGTTGGCGGGGTTTAGGGGGTGTAGGGCCGGCCTAGCTTGCGGGTCCTCCACATGGCATGGCACTTAACTCAGTAAGTTACTACAGAAAGTTGCGGCCACTCACATGCTGGACAGCGTGCATGGGACATGCGTGGCTGCATCCAAGCATCATGAAACGACAGGGCCAAGAACAGTTCGACGGATGTCCCACTGAGCCGAGTGACACGCACACATCTGGGTGCCTCCAGACCAGTGCCAGCACAAGCAGGTGCGAAGGGTAACCCACCCATACCCAACCCACATGAGAGGGTCGCCTAGCACTTCAAGCAGGAAATTCTGCGCTGCATTGCTGCGCCAAGAGTCTGCTCATCCAAGGCCTGAAACTCAGCCAGTATCCTGTCTGCAGCCTCCTGGCAGTGCTGTTTCTGCAGCAGCCTCAGGCCATCTCAGGCATCGTTGTGAACATCCGCTTGGGTGCTTTGGGCTCTACGTCTACTTCTTGGTCTCCCTCTGATCTTCACATATGGGAGTTTCCGAGATTCGGGGTACCTTATTGGGGTCCTCATTATCAGGGCCTCCCACTATTTGGGGGGGCTATGTTGGGGGTCCCCCATTTTTCGTAAACCCTCATATGTCTCGTCATGTCCTTTGCTGTTGGTAACGTCGCTCCTTCGTTTTACATTATGGCTCCCTCTTCCCTAAACCTGAACCCTGAACCCTAAACCGTAAACCCGAAACCCTAAACCCTGAACCCTCTTGGGTCGTTTTGTTTCTCTGGCCGGATTCTTCCGCGGGGCGGGCTTGGCTTGAAAAAGATACTGCAAGCGGCCAGGGGTGTAGGGCTGTTGAGATTTTCAGGGTCTAGATAGGCTTTACTACTATTTGCTTAAGAACACACCAAAAAAACAATCAGTATATTGCCCTTAGAAGTAGAAGGAAGAATATTTTTGTTTTTTGGGGGGGTCCTAAGCAACTCGTAGTTTAGCCGTTAAGGTTTTTGCGATTGGTCCTACTGGCACCAGAACGGCCGGCGACGCCTGCACTTTCTATTGATACACTCAGGCATTTTTTGGCCCATTGCGGCAAACCATTGGGAACACAATTAAAGCAGTCGAAGATGTCGCATAAACAAATGACAAGCCTGAAGTTCCCAACACTTCACTTGCAACGGAAGTGCGTGGCATTCTCTGACGGCATGACGATGCAGGCCATGGGTTGCAAGACCACCTCCTGCGCGGATACAACTTGAGGATGCTATCCCGTCAAGCGCCCGAAACATCCGTGTTGGCGCTTTAAACTTTCAACTTCGGACGGCTGGGTGTAAACTCTTGCGAAAAAGCACGTGAGCGCCGCAGATCGTCCGTCCTGCACCCATGGGACAAAGACCTGAGCGTTCAAGAAACAGAACCCAAGGCCAGCACTTTTGGCGCAGTTGCAAGGATCAGTCTACAGGTTGTTGTCTGCACAGGTGCCGATGAGAACCCGTAGCAAAGAATCCTACGATGAACAGGTCGCATTGTATCAAGCAATATCCAACATGCTATCGAGACACGACGGCTGCTTCGCATGGTGGTTCTGGTGTGGATGGGTCGGCCTTCCCACAGCCACACAAACCACGACGGAACAACCAAGCTTTGACTTCAAGGAACATCTTGAGGGGCGCAAGGCAGCCAATTAATATTATAAATTAATATTATTAATAAATATTATTAATTAATATTATTAATTAATATTATTAATAAACATTATTAATTAATATTATTAATTAATATTATCAATTAATATTATTAATTAATATTATTAACTAATATTATTAATAAATATACATGATTGATTAATACAATATGCAATAAGTGCAACATTGCCAAACCTTCCCAGGAATGACTACATTCGACTAGAGGCCTTGCGGCGAAGGAAAACGTCGGCAACGCGCCTCTCCGTCAGACATTGCCGGTGCCCCCGACACTCCAGCTAGCTCACGTCAACGATGTATCATGGCAGGCGGCGGCGCCAGTGGAGCAACTTGCTTTCTTGTGACTCTTGGCTAAAAACGTTCAGGAAGAAGTGCCCTGTAGAATTGTCACACGAGGCGTCCCATCACGCCAAGCTAAGAACAAAGCGATACGATTCAAGGAGGCCGTTGGGAAGTACACATTCTTGCTTACCCCTTCCTCGACAGCCTTGACTGCAACACAAAGTGTGACGTGGAAGTTGGTCTAGCCTTGGGTGGCGGCTTGGACCGACAAGCCCCGGTCGTGTTGCACGGAGACAACAGGTTGCATGAAAGAACGACAATGCGTTGAACAAACCAGTGCCTTGGAAAGTGGCACGACGGAAACCCCGTCGCTCAGCAGCACTCCTCGCCCAGCCGAAGCAGAAAACACAGGAGATGCGGCCAAATCAACACTATCCCTACCGAACTTCCTGAACTTTGCCGCCTAGAACGCCGAGTGGAGTGAAGAGTCTAGTTGAGACATCATGGCTATACCAGCCCGCCCACAACCATTGGTGATTCATGGTCATTACATACCACCTGACGCAAGCAATAGCACGCAGGGTCTTTACCAAGTCCAAGCGCAGCCTTCACCATCAACTGGCTGCCGTGCCCAGTGCGGCGCCACCTCTGGGATGCTTGTGATAACAGTGATAACTGAGTCTGCAGCAAGCTTGCTGTAAGTCAGGTGTAAGTTTTGAATTTATACACGTACATGTACATCGTACCATTTGAGCTATCTCGCCGACATGTCCCCCCCCCCCCCACCCACTCGGCCATGAGCAAAGAACAATTGCTGCGGAATCCAGAAAAACTCCTATTGAGACCACGCTGATTCAAAGGAATGAAGAGTTGCAGCGTCCCAGAAGACTTGAAACGGCAAAGTAAAATAGCAGGCCAATGTGCTGAACAGTGAACCAACGGTCGCGACGTGAAAACACACAAAACACGTGCTGCCGAGGCTCTTTCTCGGCATAGACCTTGCGCGGACATGTTACATATGTTACGACATGCATGGCCCGCACACCGAATCCCGGTTCTGGACCGTGATCCCGCCTCCAATCCTTCATACCGCGCAAATGCGAGGTTGCGAAACAATACAGAGGATGTGTATTGCATAACCACGAAGTAAAGCCTTGGCTGCGGCACGGGTGAATTCTCATGGGGGGGGGGGTTTGCGGAGGGTCTTGCAGGCGTTTGGATTCTTAGTCGTGGGGTCGTGTTTGCGCACCGACCACGAAAGTGCAAAGTCAGCATGTCATGGGCAGATGCTCGCTACGGGGAATACCTGGCTTCCAAGCTGCAAAAGCCGTAGCCACACCTATTGTCAGGTCAGCATGCACATGTCCAACTACGAGAACCATCGTTGCACGTGCAGACAGCACATGCTTTCGTCCAGTCACGCCCCAGCCTTGGAACAAACCTGGGCAACAGCAGGAAGTCATCCAACAAAAGCTCCTAAACCAGCATCAACAGAAGTCTGCTGCTCTACGAAAAGGAACCTAGTGATACCTAGTGGCTGGGCACCCATATGCACCGATGGTACCCGACATGTCTCTGACTTACAAATCTGTTGTTTGTTTTGGCTCTCCCTCCCTCCTTCCCTCCCTCCGTCCCTCGGAATATGTAGGGCAACCCCGTCGTGAACGTATGCAGACACGGCGCAATTTCATGTTTTTGCACACCTTCCATTTTTCTTGCGCTGATGGTGATGTCAATGTTGCCCAAGATACATCAATGATGCACGCATCCATTCTTAAGCGTGTGAGAGTTAAGACGCATGTGCTGAATGCGGATCTTACATGTGTGGCCCATGCGTGCATGCCGCTGCTGCGGGCAAGCCTTTTGTCTGCGTGGATGCCTTGATATACATAGTCGTACATATTTTTGACCATATCAACCTCGTAAGAACGTTTAGTTTGCGATGGACGTTGGGAATGAAACTCCTTTTTGATGCTTGCACTTTAGGGTTTAAATTTGCTCTGTGTCCCACAATAGATAGGCTCTAAATTTACATAGTGTCCTACGATCTACAACCTGAATTTGCCTAGCGTGTTGTTTTGTTGATTTATTCAAGTGTCCCATGATATAGGGACTAAATTTGCTTAGTGTCCCACTATACAGGGTCGGAATTTGCATAGTGTCCCACTTTTTTGAGCCGAAATTTTGCTTAGTGTCTGTCCTACTTTCCAGATCCTAAACTTGCTTAGCGTCCCACCATGTTAGTGAAAATTTGTCGGTCTCACTGGTTCGGGATTAAATTTGCTTAGTGTCCTTTGCTTGGAGAATTAATTCTAAGTTTCAGCTCGCTTGCCATAAGGCCTCCCGTAGGAGTCTGAGGTCAGTGTGAAACTTGAGTTTACTACCTACACACCCGGGAGTCTCCAGCACAGATGGCGAGTCTCAACCGAGGAACTGCTGCGCAAGCCTCAAGTACTGCACAGATTTGGGGCCTCACTAGCTTTCTCGCTCTTACTAACTAGGGACCCCTCACGTACACCGAGCGCTGTAGTATACATCTTCGTTTCGTCTCGGCTGGGCCTTCCGCTCGCCTCCCCAAATCCAGACGCGGTTTTGACGCTCCTGCTTGCTCACAAGTAGTGACGTGGAGTTGTGTTCCTCTGAGGCCTTATGGCTTTGGAAGGCTATAGGTGTATAGGATTGGCGTTTCGCAAGCATCGCCGAGAGGCGCTGTCTCTCTTCGACATGCAGAAGGAGTTCCGGGACCCCTCACTGCACACAAAACATCAGTAGTCATAAAGACCACCTTAGAGGAGCCAGGGTCAGCTACCCAAACTAAGGTTCGGAGAGGGGCACCTCATCCAGGCCCATTCTAGTGTCCTGGAGAGAGGCTACCTCATCTCCCACTGCACAAAATCCATCAAGGACCCTGAAGAAAAAAGCACTTGGAGTTGGGAGAGGAACCTCATCCCGGGAAGCTGCTAGCTGCACAAAGGGATTGGCAGCCACATCCCAAATCCAAGGCACTCTAGCTGCAGCCGGTCACTGCAGCATGCACGGAAGCAGAAACCGCAGGACGTGAGGACTGCAGCGCTGTACAAAAGGACCCCCCTCATAAAGGAGCACCCCCCCCTCATGTCTTGTTTGAATAATTTTCTTTTATATTTCCTGTTGGAAAAAGAGAGGGGAGATTCCGAATTTTCTCAAGCTTCCCATACTTCGTGAGTGGGGAATTTGTACTAAATTCCACGGAAGCGAGACTTGTAGCCTGCTGCGCCACGGCGGCGGTGGTCTGGCACCTGCACCTGTGACTCCAGAAGCAGCTTAAAAAGAAACGGTTTTACAGAAAATCTACCGGCGCTCACGGCCCAGTTCCAGATGGCCCTGGCAAGGCCCTTGGCGTGGCCCTTGCCACCTGCATGACCACCATGTCCTTTGCTTCCTGCATCACCACGCCTGCGCGCTGGCAGCGGCGATCCACGGCCAGGAGCTGGCAAGTAGCTCGCCGGGCTTTGGAGGAGGGCTGCCGGCTGCAAGGCGAGGCGTGCCGGGGAGCGGCTCAACAGGAAGCGGCGTGGCTGCGACTGCTGCCTTTGCTGCCGCCACCACCTTTTTCAAATGCACTGCATGCCCGCCAAGTAGCCGAAGAGAAAGTTGGCGCTGCGAAAAAACGTAAACGTGGAAAGTTTTGCAGAAAATCCCTTCGCCACAAAAACTGCCTGGCCTCCCGTGCGTTGCTAGGTTGAACTGGCAGTTTGTGGCAATGCAGAGCGAAAGCAATGTCTAGTTCTGCTCGAAGATCTATTGGGAGTGGCCAGCTCGTTCGTGCCGCCATCGCCAACGCGCTGCGCGGCGTCCGCCGGCCTAGCGAGTCGCGACCCGCTCGACTGCCTTGCCGGTCAAAGCTCCCAAGCTGAGGCCGCCGGCGCTCCACCACCGCATGTCAACAGGGCGTATGCCACACTTCGCAGCAGATGGCGGCAGCTCGGCAGGAGAGAAGAGGCGAAGGTCATGGCCAGGGAGGCCGCCAACCAGCCATGCCTGCCCAGAGCAACCATTGGGTTGATTTTCTTAACGTCGCATCGCGTTGACGAACTGCATCTAGGAGATGCAACCGGAGGCCTGGTCACGGCCATGTTTCGGCACCTGAAGCTGGTCGGCTATCTCGAGAGAGGTGGCACCAAAGACCCAACAATAAGACTCATGAATCACTCCTTGAGACCAGATGATATGGTAAGACAAGGGTGTGAACGGTTAGACCAAGACATGAGAGTTAGGGTCTCAAGGTGTGACAGGGGAGATTCCGGAAGGTTAGAAAGGCGGCTGGGGTCCCGAGGGTGGGTTCCTTGTCAGCTAAGGTCTCATGGTAATAGCTGGAGATTTGAGAGTCAGGGTCTCAAGGTGTGATGCTTCAACCATTAGAAGAGCTCCTAGAAAGGGACTGAATGGTGGAACAAGAGTGAGAAAGATGAGCTAGATAGGGTCTTATATTAGGAGCACTTCATGACAGATCTGTGTTCACGGAAACCACGCTCATTTTGTGCTAAATTCGTTTTTCGTTCAGTCAAAAACTTTTGTTTTCTTACCGCAACGGCTGGCCATCACTTTCCAATGCCTTTGCATGCCTGTGCTTTGCTTAGCACCTCGTTGGCCAACGCTCGAATCCTTGGAGAAATCGACCTTCCATAGCCGCCGAACTCCGAGAAAAGGATACTGTCCTTACACTTTTCCACGCGAAGAAACTGCCAGCCATCCTCCAAGAACACCTAGCAAGCCGCCGGCACACATGCACTGACCAAGAAGAAACCACAAGTCACAGAAACAGCAAGCATTCGTCAGAAGAAACGCACACACACACACACACACACACACCTGCGTCTGATTGAAGCCGACTTAACTAAACTTAACTGCCTAGTACGATCCAGGATCCCAGCCGACTCACCATACCACGAAATTTTTTTTGGTTCACGCGCCTTTTTACGACAACGCAGGAAGTCAAACATCCGTGGGTCTACTGGCGGCCTATGGCTGGTCAGCAACTCCTCGTTCGAGATGTTTCCAGGAGCAAGTTGATGTGATTCAGGATTATCGTCGTCTTATAAACCTCGTTGCCACCCAAGGAGTCCCTCAGCCGCCTCACCCGGTCGGTCTCACCCTGGCTCGCGACTGCTCCATCCGCCGCCTGCGTGCTGGCTGCGACGCCAGAACTGATGCCAATGATGCCACGTGGCACGCAAGGTCGCAAAGCTCAGCTTGAGCCCGAACTTGTTTCGGCACAGCAGCCTCACTAAACGCAGACTCACAAGTACCACCAGACTCCACGCGCAGTCAAACACGAACCAGACCAGAATGAAATCCCTGCTGAAAGCTCTCCCCTCCCACAAGCTCCAACTTGGCATCGTCGAGGGCGAGCAGGTCAGCGAAGTCGTCGGCAGGCGCGGGTCCCGCAGCCAAGCCGTTCGCGAAACCGCTCGTCAGACAAAGGGACCATGCAAGTCAACAAAAAGCCTACACAAAAAGCAACCAAGACCAAACCCATCTCATCACAACAAGCACTCCGAGGACGAAACACATGCGTCATGGACCTTAGCTCCAACTTGCACAAAAAACCGCCGAAAGTCAACAAAGAAAAGCAAAGTGTCCCTGAGGCCTCGACCGAGCCTGCGCTGCGGACTCCCTCTGCAGTTTAGAAACACGTCTCTTCCTGCCCACGATTACGATCGTTGCAGCTTGCACCGCACCAGACGTCCCCAAACCAGCACAGCATGCGAAGACCAACATCGGTCAACCCACCACAGAGCATCACTGGGCTCACTGTCAAAAACAGCGTAAGCTCGTCATTGCGATCCTCACACAAACTGCCAAAGCAGGACTCACACCAGCCAGCTGCATTGAGACGACCCTGGTTCGGCAAAAACTCGCGAACCAACAAACCGAGCCCGGCCCAACAGCTCCTCCGCTGATGAGTCATTCCCTTCCTGAAAATTGCGCATTTAGAAGGGGATGTGGGACCCTACGCAAATCTACGCATTTTTTTTTTTTTTTTCGCGCGCCTTTTTCCGTCAGCCAGGAAGTGTCCAGTCTGCCCTTCCCGCTCCTACATGCTCCTACGCGGCGCGCAGCGGCAGCAGAGAGGGCAGCGCCGGTTCGGCAAGCTCGACGACTTCGCTGAGCGTCGGCTGCCCATCGCCGCCCGGCTGCGCTGGTGCGCGCCAGATGCCGCCCAGCAGCGTGGACGCTAGCGCGCGCTGCTGCGCGCAGCTCAGGAACCCCCACCAGCGGCGCTGCCAGCCTGCTGTAGCAGCTGCGCGCAGCACGGGGGGAGCTCGCAGGGACCGCACGCGAACGAGGCGACGCAGGAGATCGTGGGCCTCGCTGCCCCAACGCCCGCCGACCTCAGATGGCAGCACCACGAGCTTTTGCGGTCCGGGCCGAGCAAGCTCAGGGTACCGTGCGAGTTTCCGGCGCCGCGCGACTTCGATTGCCGCGCCGTCACGATCGCGACTTCCCGGCTGCGGCATCCCGTCCGCGCGCAGGGGTGACACGAGCGTGACATCGCAGCACAGCGCCTCGCCGCGCCTGGTGGCGCCGTACAAGACGAAGTCGAGGCGGCGCCCGATCGTCGGCCGGGATCCCAGGCGCGGTGGTGTGCAGAAGCCACTGTTGAGGCACAACGCGGCCTTCAGCGCCAACCGCCTCGCGAGCGACCCGCACCCACGCGCGCTCGAGGAGTGGGGCTCGTCGCGCCAGCAGGCCACTGCGGGCGCATGCAGCACGGTGATCCCCGAGCTCATCGACGCGGGCGCCACAGGGGAGGGGGAGGCGCAAGCGTCGGCGCAGAGCGATGAGCATTTCGGGTGGCGTGAGCGTACTGGCTGCGTTTGCGGGGATGGCACGGAGCCATTCGCCAGCGTGGGCACCTGACTGTGAGCGCAGCAGCGCACGGGAATCGGCACGGAGGCTGAGGAGGAGGCGCTCGCGGTAGGACGTGTTGAGTGCGCGAGCTGCCAGTCTCTGCCAGCCACGAATCCAATCCCCGGTCTCTGCCGGCTCGTCGGGCGCGGGCGCTGGGGGCGCTACGCCTTCCAGGAGGGTGGGCCAGTCCGGGCGCGTGGTCCAACCCTCTGCATCCAGGACAGCGCCTGCGGCTGCCGCGGCCCTCAATGAAGGCGCTGCTGCCGCGTCGGCAGCCGCCAGCTCACGCGCGCACCGCGCCGCAGCATCCGGCCTGCGCTGGTGCATGACTGGGAGCGCATCAGCCCACGCTGCCCAGTATGCAGCCGCGCGCACCCGCTCGGCGCTGCATAGCCCCAAGCCGCCCAACAAGGTGGGCATGAAAGCCAGTGAGCGGGCTGCTTCCCAAACCTCACCTTCCGCGTCGGGCTCAGAAAGGAGATGCTGCAGCGTCCGCCATATGGCGCTATCAAATCTACGCAAATTGAAGCCCAAAATAGTGGGACGCTACACAAATTAAAACGTCCGTGCGTCATGATATTTTTTCCATGATTTTTGTTCGCCCTTTTCCGACTGCAAGTGCCAGAGCTACGTTGGTCGAGCTACTACCACAGCGGGCAGTCCTGGTTTAGGGCCGCAGGGGAAGGCGGCTCATTGGTGGCGAGGTCGAGCACGCGGTCCAGTGCAGGGCCGTCGCTCGGCCCAAAAAGTGGCGCAGCCAGCCACGCTCGGCCCAAGGCTGTGCTCGCCACGGCGAGCTGGACCGCAACGGAAAGGGCTCCCCACCAGCGTCTTGCCCAGCCGGAGGACGCCGCAGCGCGCACGGCAGGCGGCGCGCGTAGAGCGGGAGGTCGCGAACAAAGTGCTGCGCAGCTTGGCTCCAGCGGCCTCCTATCTCGGAGCCTAGGACCACTAGCTTCTGCGGGCCGCCCCTCGCGAGTTCGGGGTACGTACGGCGCTTGCGTCGCTCCGCCACCTGCAGCACGGCACCGTCCACCTCCACGGCGCATGGATGTGGATGACCCGTTCTGGTTAGAGGAGACACGAGTGTTGCGTCGCAGCACAGCGCTCCTCCGTTGGCGGTGGCCCCGTAAACGACGAGATCAAGGCGGCGGCGGTCGTCGGCAGGGACGCCTGCCGCAGTCGTATGGGCGAGCCACTGCTGTGGCACGACCTGACCTTCGGCGCCGACGGCCTCTCGCGCCACGCGGGCCCACGCGCGCTCGACGACTTTAGCGCGTCTGGAGACGAGGAAACTCGAGCAAGGAGGTGGCAAACGCGCGTTGCGTTGCGATGGCGATCAAGCCACTCCGACGTACACGGCAGCTCACTGCGGCATGAGCGCTCGCCTCGCACCTTTGCAAAGAACTTCGGGAAGGTGACGTCACAGCTCGCGATCGACACCACACTGGTGTCCCGTGTGCGGAAGGAAAGGCGGCGCAGGGCTTGCGGTGCGTGCCTTGTTGGGGGCTCCAGGCACGTCAAGGCCGACTCGAGGACAACGAGTTGGCATCTGTGTGAGCGCAGTAACAAAGGACTTGACTTGAAAATCGAGTGCTCGCCACTGAGAAGCGACAGCCGTGTGGAACTGGACAGGCTTCGGATCCGAAATTCGCGTCATTCCGGCTACGCGCGTTCCAACGGCCGGCAACGCAGAGTGCGGCGCCAGCACAGCGACCAGCATACCTTCTTGGCGCACCCGCAGAGACGAGGGCCGACACGAGCGTGGTGTCGACTGCCATTTGCGCACCTCCCAAAGTGGTATGCATTCGGCATCTGGCACGGGTGCCAAGGTAGGCCGGTCGAAGCAGTGAGCCTGCAGAGCGGCCGATTCGTCGCGTAGCGCGAAAAGGCGTGGGCGCGCGTGGTGGGGTACTATAAAGGCAAATTGCCCTTGCGCTGAAAGTGTTGCGGCGTCGCTGCTGGGTATGCACAGTCCTCACGGCTTCTCACGTACTCGCATGCCTTGTTTGCCATGTGCTCGCTTTCAATCTTGTGAGGGGTGCAGGGGCAGCGCAAGCAGAAACAGACATGCAAGCTTGACACGCATTTCACGTTCAACCAGTCTGTTCACCTCAGTAGTTGAGTAGTGAGGTAAGGCGGCGCGAATCACGTCTGCACCGCAAGAGTTCGTCACATTCCTGGAGCATCTCAACAAGCCGCATTGGCATCTACATATGCAGGGCGCCATGCACGCTGACATGCATCACTGTCGGAGGAAGCGAGTGATTGACGTGAATCGTGTAGCCAATGTTGCAAAAACAACCACCATGGATCGACGGAAACCTTCACTACGGAAAAGCGCAAAGCCACGGCATGATCGATGGCGCTCTCTTCTCTTCCATTCGGACGCTCACGTAGCACAAAGGCGGCATACTGCATTGTATGATGGCCGAAAGAACAACAAAACACAGGAACGCATCTACGTGCTTTGCATGCCCATGGCTCTGCAACAGTTTGCATCATGGAATGCGTTTGTGGGCAAGATCCGGGCAGCTCCTCCAGCCGTGGGCAGCCCATTGGTCGAGTCGTGTACATGCAAGCCAGCACACCCGCATGGAAGGTGAGGGAGTTGAAATGAGTTGAAGGAAATCTGGGGAAGGCGGCAGTATGCGCGCGAGAGAACGACAACACCGTTGAAACACGGGCGTCCCCAAAGACTTCCGAGCATGTTGGCGGCGTCTACCCCTTAGCCGCGTGACGCCGCTGGTGCTCGCGTAGGCTCTCCAAGACATGCAACTCCGGCCTTCCTCCACCCTCCCTTCCCCAAGCGTGCGTGCTGCGTTTGCCATGCACGGCTCGAGGGCCAGCTCCAAGACCAAGGGCTTTCTGAAGGCTGCCGTCTTACGTTGCCTTCCTGCATCTTTTTATCGGGCTGTGTGGAGTTTATCAGGGTGTTTAGTAAGGGGCTTAGAGGGCTTAGGGGGTGCTGTAACCAAGCAACCTGGAGTTCCTGCTGCAGCGTCACGCGGAGCTCGCCCACGTGCCGCACGGCTGTGCCAGCACTGCTCGGGGGGTCCTCATGTGTGGCACTTGAAAGGGGGGTTTTAGGGTTTAGGGTTTTAGGGTTTAGGGTTTAGGGTTTAGGGTTGAGGGTTGAGGGTTGAGGGTTGAGGGTTGAGGGTTGAGGGTTGAGGGTTGAGGGTTGAGGGTTGAGGGTTGAGGGTTGAGGGTTGAGGGTTTAGGGTTTAGGGTTTAGGGTACGGCTCCTCCATTTCCAAGGTCATCAGCCTGCTCATGGCCTCGTTGGGCGTTCGGCATTCTCGCATCACGTAATCTCAGAGTGAGGCCTCTCTGTGCGAGACGCCACCATTAAGGCAGACTAAGGCTGGGGGTGTACACGCCACGGGCAGGGCAGAGCTGGAGAGGGAGGGGGGGGGAGGCAAAGCGGGAGGGGGTAAGGGGGTAAGGGGGGAGGGGGGGCGGGGGGGAAGCAGGGGGAGGGGAGTGTGTTGTGTTTTTGTGGGCGGAGTTTGTTGTTTTGCTATCTCGATCAGAGAGGGGGGGGGGCTTGCGACTAGTGAGTTCGCTTTCTCTGCGTTGTTGGGAGTTATTCTTTTGTTTTTACCCTAACCCTCAACCCCGAAACCCAAGTTACTCCACCCAGAAATGACAGAGAGGAAGGAAGACCTTCGGGTTGTTAATTCGAAAGGAAAAGAGAGGATCGCCATACTTTTGCCTATCGTATGTGTCAGGGGGGGCAACAGGATTCTTATGATTGCGTTTTCTATTCGTCGGATCATGAAGAGAGCTGCCGCTACCGCTGTATTCTTTCTTGGGGGTGAGAGATGCAACGCCAGATTTGACTCTTGTTTGAATTGCATTGGGCTCCCCATTCTGCTATAGACACGACACCGTAAACCTTCAACCCTACAGCCCTCTTGTACGGCCGGAACCTTTCAGCACGCAGCTGGTACTTGCACCACATCCAGCTTTGCTCCATTTGCTTGGACAAGGGGGTTAGCGTTTCGGGTTGAGGGCTTAGAGGGCCGCAGAATCTCAGAATCACCTGCTCTCAGGGAAGGGTGCAGGCATGCTCTAAGTGATTGCAAGGAATTCCGGCAGTGAAGATGGGGGTTTGGGGGTAAGATTTAGGGGCATATTCTGCTTCCTGTCTTGATCCCAAATTTGGCACCTGCAGCATCGTCAACCAACCGCAATTAAGTTCTGACCTGTTTGGCAATCCTGCAGCGCCACCTCAACTTCTACGACTAAAATAGAGTCCCATTTCGGACAGCCTAGGCCTCGGGCTACGGCTATGGCTGCAGTTTGATTCAAGTCACGCGTTCAGACATGCCCCCCCGTCCTGTTGCACAGCTGTGTAGACAACTGCCGGTTGCTTCTTCTGGTCCTGCGATCACAGTTGCGATGGCGACTCTCATAGCCATCAATGGCTTCAAGACAGCTTCAAAGACGTGCGTCACCTAGAGTCGCAGTTCGTGAAAGTGGTCCGGGTGGGCGAACTCCAACGCCAAGCCGCAGTTTTGGACGGCCTGGCCAAAGAAGTCTGCTGAGATGAACTTTGAGGGTTCCGAGCTTAGATGAACTTTGAGGGTTTGGGGCCAAAGTATGGGAGGGAGTCTGCGGTTTCTTCTTTTGGCCTGAGGCGCAATGCGAGACTCTTTCGACACGCCTTCATGACGATGTCCTTGCGGTTCCGCATCTTCGTGGTTGCCTCTGAGTTGCCCCCGAAAACCCTAAACCCTAAACCCTAAACCTTAAACCCCGTTGAACAGTGCCAGTGACAGCTCAGAGCCAACTCAGGTTGCAACGAAGAGGAGGGCCATTCCACACTGCGTCACAGCCTGCTTCACCACCTCCAAAATCATGCGGCGCCAAGGTGCAGAGCAGGCAAGCGGGGTTTAGGGTTTAGGGCTTAGGGTTTAGGGTTTAGGGTTTAGGGTTTAGGGTTTAGGGTTGAGGGTTGAGGGTTGAGGGTTTAGGGTTTAGGGTTTAGGGTTTAGGGTTTAGGGTTAACTTTGAAATACTGGCCTTTTCATTGTCCCGCATGTCTGGGGAGATGAACTCCAAGACCAATGGATATGACTTCACGGCAGCGACCTGGCCATCGCAGGGCTTCTCTGGCACATCTCTTGTGCCTAAACCCTAAACCCTAAACCCTAAACCCTAAACCCTAAACCCTAAACCCTAAACCCTAAACCCTAAACCCTAAACCCTAAGTCAGCATGTCCGAGCTTCCCGCGCAAATCTCCTCCGAATACTTGAAGAGTGGCGGCGCGTAGCGCAGCGCCCAGCCATGCTTCTGGCACAGGGCTTTGGAGGACATGCTTTTGCTTCTGCCCTCAATTCTGGGCCCTTATTGGGATGATTAACTTAATGCAGGGACGACATCAGGACCGTGATTTAGACCGCCCAGTTCGGCACAATATGCCTTGCACATTCCACGTACCAAGCTTGAGGCTGGTACCGTACGAGCGCTTAGAGGCCGAAAGTTCCTACGCCGCGCTGCGACCTACGTTTAGGCTTTCGCCCTGACCGCCTCTTGCAAACCACATCGCCACATTTTGTGCCAACCCAAGATCATGATGCGGATCGTTGGGAAGCTGGGAAGAAAGGATCTCCCCCCGTGCGTACAAATTTGCTGAAGGCCATCGCGAAAGAGGGCGCGGGCAGCTTTGCTGTCCGACGCAGCTGTCGAAGGGCCAACGCTGTATCAGAAGCTCCGGAGCTGGAAAGCATCCGGCACAAAACTGGCGCTTGCAAGGGAAGGGATCCAGATCGATAAGCTGCACTCTCAGTTGCACTCTCACCTAAGACCAACTTACATGTTGGAAGCCACGAGGACAGCGATTGCAAATCTTCGCGCGACCCACAGAGTTGAGCTGCATCCCCTCCAAAACGAACTACGAATTTGGCCCCGGTGCAAAACCCCTGCTATCCCCAGCTCTACGCCTTAGTGTCGAAATCATTCGTGGCTAAGGTTGGTGGAGCAGCTCCTTGGCTCGAGGCCTTTGGAGCATTCGCCCTCAAGTGCTTCCGGAGGTTGAAGAGGCCGGAGGACAGGTTGAGCAGGAAGAAAATGGAGTTGCAAACGATCGTGATCCAAATCATCGTGGTCACGGCCGACTCCGCCGCGGCAAGAGCCTCGGTCATCCGGGCTTCGGCCTCCGTGGTCAGCGACATGGCGGTCTCGATGGCACGGGGCCGCTTCGTGGCCGAGTCCAGGCCTGGCGCCTCGATGACGTTGCACAGCGTGCCATTGGGAAGGCCAAGCGACGACGCGCATTCCGGCCGGCTCACCACCTGGCGGCTTCAATCTTCAGTGGTGGCGATGGCGGCGAGCGAGCGAGCGAGCGACGTGAGAACGAGAACAAGCCCCTTGAATCCCCTTCTCACAACGCACACGCGCCTGGATCCCCATGGCAGCCGCGTTCAACTGGGCATGGACCTCGGCCTCGTTGCCACAGAGCTTCCTTCAGGGCTTCTTGCCGCCAGCTTGCAAGGGGCTGCGGGCTGTAGGGACTAGGGTAGGGTCTAGGGTCTCGGGTCTGTAAGGCTTAGGGTTTAGGGTTTAGGGTTTAGCGAGGCTTTAGGCGCGCACCCGGTGTATGGGCAGATGGCCGACTCCAGCTGCTCTGGCACCAGGGGAGCCCCAGAGGAGTCCAGCTTTGGCACCAGACAGTCGCCTGTGCCGAGAGGGAGAGAGAAAGCACGGGCTAGTGCGATTAGTGGCACATCTCTGATCATTTCTGTGGGGGCTGCAGTTTTCCTGGCCTTCGTAGGAGCCACAGAACTGCTCAGACACCTGGTCGTTGCAGGACTCCATGCCCATGACCGAAGCGCATGTCTGCACCGTCTGGGTCATGCGACTATAGGTGACGGAGTAGCCGCGTGCCGTGGCTTCCGGAGCCAGGACTGCTAGAACGTCGTCCAAGACCCTTGCTGTCGCCACCTCCATCACCATCTCGCCCCGGCCACCGATGGGGTAGACCGCATCGCCAACCAAGCGCGATGTGCCACTCTGCGAGTACGGCAAGCCGACGCCACCGCTGGCCATGTCCGTGGCGTTCGGAGCCAGCTCGACAACCTCGAAACCTGCAGCCAAGGTGGTCATCTTCGCCTGGCCCGGGTTGGTGCAAGCAGTGGTGACCGTCTTGTTCACATAAAGGCCGTAGGGGGGAGACCCGGGCAGCAGGCCCCTTCCCTCTGCGAGCGGGGACGGCATGCTCAGGCCTGATAGCCTCAAGCCATCAGGGGGCGGCGTGGTGCACTCCATTGGCACGTAGAAGGGCGTCCATCGCACTTTCTCCGTGATCCCCCAGATCAGGATTGTGAGGTTTAGTGGTGCTGCGCACAGCCCCACAATGGCCTGCACTTTGGGTGAGCAGCATCCCTTCTTGCAGCAGCCCATGGCTCAAGGGCACCAGGTGTTGGGGCGGTTGGGGTATACTGGGGCGGCTTTGAGAGCAGGATGGCTACAGTAGTGCTGCAGTGCCTACAGTGGGCTGTCTTTGCAGAACCCCATCCCACGAAATCATGGGCTCCCTAAGAAACACCCGGCTCCCGAAAATATCTTGAAGGCTCCCCACACACATCCTAGACGTCCTAGACTTCCCCTGCATCTTTAAACTGGTGTAGGTAGGCTTCGCCCAAACCACGCCACATTTTGTGCCAAGCCTGTCCAAGAATGTCCAAGATCATGACACAGATCGCTAGGAAGCTGGGAAGCAAGGATCTCCCCCGTGCGTGCAAATCTGCTGAAGGCCATCGCGAAAGAGGGCGCGGGCAGCTTTGCTGTCCGACGCAGCCGTCGAAGGGCCAACGCTGTATCAGAAGCTCCGGAGCTGGAAAGCATCCGGCACAAAACTGGCGCTTGCAAGGGAAGGGATCCAGATCGATAAGCTGCACTCTCAGTTGCACTCTCACCTAAGACCAACTTACATGTTGGAAGCCACGAGGACAGCGATTGCAAATCTTCGCGCGACCCACAGAGTTGAGCTGCATCCCCTCCAAAACGAACTACGAATTTGGCCCCGGTGCAAAACCCCTGCTATCCCCAGCTCTCTACGCCTTAGTGTCGAAATCATTCGTGGCTAAGGTTGGTGGAGCAGCTCCTTGGCTCGAGGCCTTTGGAGCATTCGCCCTCAAGTGCTTCCGGAGGTTGAAGAGGCCGGAGGACAGGTTGAGCAGGAAGAAAATGGAGTTGCAAACGATCGTGATCCAAATCATCGTGGTCACGGCCGACTCCGCCGCGGCAAGAGCCTCGGTCATCCGGGCTTCGGCCTCCGTGGTCAGCGACATGGCGGTCTCGATGGCACGGGGCCGCTTCGTGGCCGAGTCCAGGCCTGGCGCCTCGATGACGTTGCACAGCGTGCCATTGGGAAGGCCAAGCGACGACGCGCATTCCGGCCGGCTCACCACCTTGCGGCTTCAATCTTCAGTGGTGGCGATGGCGGCGAGCGAGCGAGCGAGCGACGTGAGAACGAGAACAAGCCCCTTGAATCCCCTTCTCACAACGCACACGCGCCTGGATCCCCATGGCAGCCGCGTTCAACTGGGCATGGACCTCGGCCTCGTTGCCACAGAGCTTCCTTCAGGGCTTCTTGCCGCCAGCTTGCAAGGGGCTGCGGGCTGTAGGGACTAGGGTCTAGGGTCTCGGGTCTGTAAGGCTTAGGGTTTAGGGTTTAGGGTTTAGCGAGGCTTTAGGCGCGCACCCGGTGTATGGGCAGATGGCCGACTCCAGCTGCTCTGGCACCAGGGGAGCCCCAGAGGAGTCCAGCTTTGGCACCAGACAGTCGCCTGTGCCGAGAGGGAGAGAGAAAGCACGGGCTAGTGCGATTAGTGGCACATCTCTGATCATTTCTGTGGGGGGCTGCAGTTTTCCTGGCCTTCGTAGGAGCCACAGAACTGCTCAGACACCTGGTCGTTGCAGGACTCCATGCCCATGACCGAAGCGCATGTCTGCACCGTCTGGGTCATGCGACTATAGGTGACGGAGTAGCCGCGTGCCGTGGCTTCCGGAGCCAGGACTGCTAGAACGTCGTCCAAGACCCTTGCTGTCGCCACCTCCATCACCATCTCGCCCCGGCCACCGATGGGGTAGACCGCATCGCCAACCAAGCGCGATGTGCCACTCTGCGAGTACGGCAAGCCGACGCCACCGCTGGCCATGTCCGTGGCGTTCGGAGCCAGCTCGACAACCTCGAAACCTGCAGCCAAGGTGGTCATCTTCGCCTGGCCCGGGTTGGTGCAAGCAGTGGTGACCGTCTTGTTCACATGAAGGCCGTAGGGGGGAGACCCGGGCAGCAGCCCCCTTCCCTCTGCGAGCGGGGACGGCATGCTCAGGCCTGATAGCCTCAAGCCATCAGGGGGCGGCGTGGTGCACTCCATTGGCACGTAGAAGGGCGTCCATCGCACTTTCTCCGTGATCCCCCAGATCAGGATTGTGAGGTTTAGTGGTGCTGCGCACAGCCCCACAATGGCCTGCACTTTGGGTGAGCAGCATCCCTTCTTGCAGCAGCCCATGGCTCAAGGGCACCAGGTGTTGGGGCGGTTGGGGTATACTGGGGCGGCTTTGAGAGCAGGATGGCTACAGTAGTGCTACAGTGCCTACAGTGGGCCGTCTTTACAGAACCCCATCCCACGAAATCACAAACTCCCTACTGAAAATATTTTGAATTTTGAAAGCTCCCCACACATCCTACACGTCCTAAGCTTCCCCTGTATCTCGATACTGATGTAGGTAGGCTTTCGCCCAGACCACGTCGCCACATTTTGTGCCAAGCCTTTCCAAGACCGTGAAGCGGATCGTTGGGAAGCTGGGAAGAAAGGATCTCCCCTGTGCGTGCAAATCTGCTGAAGACCATCGCGAAAGAGGGCGCGGGCAGCTTTGCTGTCCGACGCAGCCGTCGAAGGGCCAACGCTGTATCAGAAGCTCCGGAGCTGGAAAGCATCCGGCACAAAACTGGCGCTTGCAAGGGAAGGGATCCAGATCGAAAAGCTGCACTCTCAGTTGCACTCTCACCTAAGACCAACTTACATGTTGGAAGCCACGAGGACAGCGATTGCAAATCTTCGCGCGACCCACAGAGTTGAGCTGCATCCCCTCCAAAACGAACTACGAATTTGGCCCCGGTGCAAAACCCCTGCTATCCCCAGCTCTCTACGCCTTAGTGTCGAAATCATTCGTGGCTAAGGTTGGTGGAGCAGCTCCTTGGCTCGAGGCCTTTGGAGCATTCGCCCTCAAGTGCTTCCGGAGGTTGAAGAGGCCGGAGGACAGGTTGAGCAGGAAGAAAATGGAGT